CATATGATTTTTGTGCAACGGTTGTTTTTATCAACATTTTCACCCGCTCAGTTAAGAATGGAGTGAAAATTAAAACAAAAGTTGATCACACAAAAAATGTCGACACTTAGTTGTTAGATCATTATGGAATTTTGTGAATCATTTTATTGAATTTGTATGCTCTGATATGGTAAAGCCCTAATAATGGGTGAATTATTGTGAAATCATCTTCTTTTGTTTGCCTTTAAACATGCAAGCCAACATAATAAAGTAACCTAAATTACATAAGAATTAATTTGACTAATTTCTTCCGGGAGACCGTTCCACACTTTAATACGAAATTAGGCTATAAGGTTTTGCCTTTTGTCTGCTTTATACTAATCTTTAGACATTTCTGATATGGATATATATATCTGAAATTATAATTACAGAAGCCCATGCATGATATCATTTTTAAATTTAGGCAATTATCATCTCAAAAACTAATTTTTAGCAATTATATTCATTCGAATATACAAAAGTATCAAATTATAGTTTAAAAATTTTCTCATTTTTTTGTCAGCAAGCTTTTGCATAATAACGTGTTTTTCAAACTCTGTTAGTATCTGTGCTGTTCTCTTAATGGAGTATGTAAGCACGTATTATTATTAAAAGCAGCTCTTTTAGCTAGTTTTAGAAACAACTAACAACCTAACGGTACTTTTGTTGCGACATTAAACCTCCAACGAGTAACTTAACTAGTAATAGCACTAATTAACTTTAACTAACCATCATTAATGGCATTAATTAGTGGAGGCCACCAAGCTTACGATTCTGTGTTTCACTAAAAACAAAAAGGGAGATTAGTGTTAGAAGACTGTCTAAATCTCAGGCTCTATGTTCTTTCTTTCAGACTTAGTTTTGATTAAACACAAGTGTCTACATTGTATTTTAATAAAACCTGGTTTTCAGGACCATGCTCTTCTGGGCACGACCTCTCTCTCTTATCATAAGAAATTAATTTTATCATCCAAGTTATGGAGACTTTGGAGATAGATTTATCATTAGTCTAATCACTGACACGTGTAGTTGGAATTCTTATATATTACTTTATATATGGTTTTTAACTTAATTTGAAATAAAAAAGGGTTGCATGTTCAGAACAACAAAATAGTTATAATAAAATTCGATTGTCATATAGAAAAGTATAAACTTATGGAGTTATGGTTAGATTCTTTAGAAGTTGTCGCGTAAGAGACTCTGATTTTTCATTTTTGCCTTTACCTTAAAAGCTGATTTTTTGGTTAATTTTAAAATAGTTCTCCGTATTTAAATTTTTAGTACACAAAACTTGCGGTGTGGGCTGAAAACTAATATAAAATCCATCATTCACAAAACAAAATCTGATCTCCATACAAAAATAAACACTAGTGGGATTTTAACAGTACAAAATGTTTTTGATTCTATAAAAACATAGAACATGTCATCATATTGTTTAATGACACTGCGCTCGAATTTGAAAACGGAATGGTGAGTATTATTTTATAATAATGAAACCTAGTTAATAATAGGATTAAGTAATAACTGATGTAGAATTAGTAAGTAAAGACAAAATTATTCAATGCCACTGTAATGAAAGAAACCCCAAGGGAAATAAAGGCCTTCTGTGGTGCTGCTATTTCCATGTGGCTTAACTAGTGGTCCATCAGACCATCAGACCATCATACATCAATTTATAATTTCCGGGAGAAAAAATCAGGTTTTAAAAAGTATTAGTAGTTTCGAAAATTTTATTTAAATGTTTTTAGATAGTGCTTGAGTAGTGCAAATTATAAAACCATACGGGAATAGACCTCGAAAGAAGCCTCGGTAAGCCAAACCAATAGTTTATGGAGTATAATCATATGTTGATGTTTCAAAGAGATAAAAGTAGAATTTAGTTTTCACAAACTAACAAGTTACAAAGATTACTACAAAAAGATTGTGTAAGAAACAATTGTGTATTTACAAGAAAACAACTTACAGTATTTTAATAGAAGAGAAAAAATGTAGATGTAACGGATACTGACTAGTAATATTGATACCATGAAATGCATACATTCAAAGTTAAAATGAAATTATTTTTGTTCGACGGGAAATTAAATGAATTACTGCTAGTTTTAGGAACGGAGAAACCAAATAGGGGAAGTTAATGCAGCCGACGTTTTTGACGACGAATTGTTAATTATGTAATAATTGTAATGTCTCTTTAAGCGTGCACTATTAATTTAACATCTTTGGAACATGGAATACCTACATCATCATCATATCAATAAACCAAAAAATATGGAACACCGAATTTTTATTTTATTCTCATTCGACACCAGTTTTTGATTGAGAATCTCTTGGGGTGTTAATTTGTCATAGACTAACATCAAACGTCCCATAATCCTACAATATGTTAGATGATAAAGGACCGGTAGATATACTTTTGAAACATAAGTCGATGTTCTGCTCTTTTGGTATTAGAGCAAGTTTCATCTTTCGGTTAATCATAGATTTTAAGTTCAAATTTTATCCTCGTCTCTTACTTTTAATTTTCTACCAAAAACATACAGAATTGGTACCCTTTCTATAAGAATCCATGGTGTAACTTAATATATATATATTTTTTTAAAAGATGTATAAGAGAAAGTATAACCAAAATTACACCCAAACGATCGATGTTATTGAATGTATTTCTTCTTACCTACGGAGCTGTAAGAAAATGGCAAGGGACAAGCTATGAATTCGAGGTCCAGGAGAGCCCATTTACAGAAATTGAATTCAATCCAGGAACGTCATTTACTCATTTATCCTCTATATACATTGACAAACCAAATAGTAAAAGATTAACCTTTAATTGAGAAGGATACGAAAAGAACTTTCTGAAATAGTATATCTTTACTTTACTTCATGAATTTTGTAACATGGACTCTTCTAACTGCTCTTTTAGTATAGTTTAATAGTATTTCTCTCTGATATGGCGATGAATAATGGACGGTATCAAAAATAGGTCACGCTGCAAATTTACTTACTATAAACATTTAGCTTTTCTTAGAAAAGCAAATTTTTTGCTGTGACAATAATATTACGTATCGGCGCACCTCCATGAAAATAGTCAAACTACTACACTAAGAAATTATGAATTGTGAATTAGATAAAATCAATACAAGGTGACTAAGAGATGATAAAATATCTCAAAGAGAAAGATAAACTCAAGGGGAAATTTCAAAACTATTTTATAGTAAGAGAGAAATAGTTGAGCAGAGCGAAGAAATATTTCGGACAAGAGGAAACTATTTTTCTAATACAAACGCACAGTTTTATTTATTCACCAAAAGCAATAAAATAGTATAAGCATTAGAGTGTTCAACAAAAAACCAAGAAAAATAAAAAACTTTCACAGTTTTTGTTTTATTTATAACTAGTAAATATAACTTAGGTAGGAAACTATACTCAAATTTAGCAAGGTATATCACATTTGCAAAAATACTTTTTTTCGGTTTCCGGTTTGTCTTTTGTCAAATGAAGATCCTTACAACCGCACTTTGGAGGTGTTATCATCTTTTTGCCTGATTCACGAAATTCTTTAATGCACTTTGGAACTCCGTTGTTGCCGCATGATCCTTGTTTTAGTATTTGGTCATCACACGGTGGTTTCCGGGCTTTCGGCTTTTGACAATCCACATCTAGTATTTTAAACAGCATAAGAAAATGTTAATGCGAATAGTAATAGTAATCAAGAATAATTCTAACAACATGTAGAATTGTAGATATAGTACCTTGAACATGAATCAAAATGAGTGATATGAGCAAATAAGAAACGATTATCATTGTAACAGACTTCATGACTCAATAGATTGTAGAAAACTTTTCTTATACTTTAACACTTATGTTTGTTTAACTGCTGTAACGAATATGCTTTATTTTTGACAACAATCGTAATATATATGCTAGGCACTCTAAATATAGCCAACGAAATCAAAGATGGAAAGAGAAGGTTGCGATTAATATAGCCAACGAAATCGTCTAGATTAATCATTCATGTGGGGAAATGTTCTTCTTAGAAACAGTCACTTGTACTTCCATATTTTTTTCTGACTAAATTTTAACTCATAGTTGAACAAGTCAAAATATAAATATGAAAAAATAGAACAGAGAAAAAAATAAATAATATGTGGCTTTAATCTTACCCAATCACTTGATATCAAACTTTTGGTGCAAAAAAGGGCTGAATATTAAGAGTTAAAACTTTCGGATAATCAAAGATCTTGGTTAAAAGCAAGTCAACGACACTAAAACACAAATTACTATTTTCTGGCAAGCCTTCGATCTAGAACTGTCAATATGGGTGTCCATGTCCATATTGGCCGTCCAAAAATGTCCATTTGTTTGTGGACAAAATATTGTCCATGTCCATAATAGCCCATGCCCATAATGGCCCATGCCCATAATGGCCCATTAAAAATGGGCTGTCCGTGGGCTGCCCATGGACAAAAACCATTAGATTTTTGAAAATGTAAAAAATAAACTAGATGATGATAAATATTGTATTATCTGCTTCAAATTAGTATAATATTGTTTTAGAGAAATGATATTTCATTATAAATGTTAAATTTTTCAGTTTTTTTTTTTCAATATATCATTATAACATCCTTCAAAAGCTAAAACATATAACATTATTCAAAAAAACAAGAAAGTCATAGACAAACTCATATTCAGAAGCTAACATCATTCAGAAGCTAACATTATTCAAACGAAATTTTAAGTAGAAACAAGTTCATAGACATAACTCCTCATTATAAGCTAAAAGACATAGTATCCAGATGCCAAAACCAACATCCATCCCTGTAAAGAAAGAAGAAACTAGTTTCAGAAAAAGGAACAAATTCGTTTGAAACCAATCTTTACTCATTAGTTTCTTACGCATATACACCAATCTCTATAATCATCATAACATTATTTACCAAACATAATTAATCAAGATGACAAAAGAAGCAACAAAACTTACCAAATCTCTATTAAACTTCTTCTCCTCCTTTCTTGGCTTCCTCTAAGTTCGAGAAGTCAAATTGATCATCTAAAACACAACAAAAAAACAAAAACTTAGGATCCAAAAATGACATGGAAGTTTAACCAAAGTTTTATGACTTGTAAAGTGAATATGATGCAAAACCACAAAATTCAGAGACACCATAGAATGATAGAAACAACACCACATAACTAATTTCAAAGAACAATAACATGAGCAAAAAACTTACCAATTTCTTCAAAGCCACGAAGCCAATTCCGGGCACATATCAAGGCCTGCACATTTGAAGGAAGAAGAGAACTCCTATACTTGTTTAAAACTCGACTTCCAATACTAAATGAAGACTCTGAAGCCACGGTTGTAATAGGAATGCTCAATACATCACATGCCATTGTCGCCAACTCCTTGAAGCGGTTTTGATTATCTCTCCAATAGCCTAAAACATTCAAGCTCGGGAATGCAAGAAAATCCAGCACAGGCTCATCTAAATATTTATCTAATGCAGACATGCCATTACCACCAGCTGCTTGAGAAAAAAAAGCATAAAAGCCTGAAACACAGAAACAAAATGAGACTATCACATGAATTTCGATAAGCATAAACATATAACAGAAATTGAGAAAACAGAACATAATCTTACACTATATCCAGGAAGAACTTGTTGTTCCATTGTGTTACTTTGAGAAGCTTCTTCGCCAGTTTTCTTTGAATACACATCAAACAGTTTCTTCATCTTCGAAGTTCGATCAATCACATCAACTTTTCATGTTAACTCAAACCTTGTGAGCATGTTGCTAAAATCAAGTTCATGTCAGTCTTGTCTATGTGAGCTATCTCGGGCACTAAAGGATCATCTAGGTTTGGATCGTTAAGCAAAAAAAATATATCAATAAGAGCACCTGTACTTTGGAAAAGTTGCAATCAGAAGTGGAAAACAACCATTTCATAATACTCAATAAGTTTTAGCTTGATGACCTAAAAGAGACACTTTAATCCTAAATGTTATCACTCATAATGGGAAAAGACAGGCACATAACTAAAAACAGCCATATTCAACGTACATTAGCCAAAAGTTTAATGACTTAAGAGACAGCTCAATGTTATCACTTCAAATGAGAATGGAGGAACAAAAACATAATCCATTATTTGCTATGGCGGGTTCTCAGTGTTTACTGAAAATAAGAAAAAACCGAACCATGGAAATGGTGAGAGCAGAGCAGGACTCCACTGCTTCTTCAAGATATCGAGGCAAATGCTTCCATTGCTGTTAATGTTGGGATGGAATACCTTCGTCCTAAAGGCAACCTAGATTTTTTTTTTTTTTTTTTTTTTTTTTTTCATTCGAGACCAGTTTCTAATTGAGAAACTCTTGGGGTGTTAATGTGTCATAGACTAAGATCAAACGTCCCATAATCTTACAATACGTTAGATGATATAAAGGACTCGTAAATATACTTTTGAAACATTAGTTGATGTTCTGCTCTTTTAGTATAGTTTGCTAATATATCTCTTTGATATGGCCAACAAGTAGAAACTTGATCAGAGGGTGCTTTTTCTCTTATAAATGAAGGTATTGTTTTGGCGATGCATAATGAACGGTATGAAAAATATGTCACGCTGCAAATTTACTATAAACATTTGACTTTTCATATAAAGGCATCTAATTTTGTTGTGACAGTAATATTACGTGTTGAATCCGAGATAGCACTCGTCAAGACGGGCTATCAAATATGTGAGTTTAGGAAACTGGAATGCTTGATTCAACTCAAAGAATATCAAGGAAGTTACAAAGGGGGTTATCTCCCTAACAAGCCTAGCGAGATAATAATGATGAACAAGAGAAGAAAGTAAAGTGGGTGCAAAAGCCTAGTGATTCTAGATGATTTCGGATCGATTTTCCCCAATGAGGGGTCTTCAATATATAGTGTTGACGAGTCGATCGAATGATGAATATTCTCCTTTGAGCAAGATGGAAAACTTCCTCTTTTGTAATATAGAAATCTTCCTCTTGTCCTCGATTTCCTTCCATTCCTTAAGTTGGCATGAGAGTTTATTTACATTTTCTCATGAATTGCGCATTCCTTCTCAAGTCTTACCTTTTTGTTGAGGAAGTTAGGCCTAAAGTTGGATTGGGTTTTGTGACTTTACTAATGATGACGGGTTCAGGGAAATGTGCTAATTTCTCCTCTAACATTACGTATTCATGAAAATAGTCAAACTACTACACTAAGAAAATATAAATTGTGAATTAGATAAAATCAATACAAGGTGACTCTGAGATGATTAAAATATCTCAAAGAGAAAGATAAACTCGTTTTTTATTTAGTAAACATTTCGGACAAAAGGAAACTATTTTTCTAACACAAACGCATAGTTTTCTTGATTCACGAAAGCAATAAAATAGTATGAATTAGCATTAGAGTGTTCAACAAAAAACCAAAAAGCTTTCACAGTTTTTTATTTATTTATTACTAGTAAATAGTATAACTTATGCAGGAAACTCCGAAACTATACCCAAATTTAGCAAGGTATAGCACAAAAGCAATAATGCTTTTTTTCTTCTTCGGGTTTGTTTTTTGTCAAATGAAGATCCTGACAACCGCACTTTGGAGGTAATGTCATCTTTTTGCTACTTGATTCACCAAATTCTTTAATGCACTTTTGAACTCCTCCGTTGGGTCCGCATGATCCTGGTTTTAATACTTGGTCATCACACGGTGGTTTCCGGGCTTTCGGGTTTTGACAATCCACATCTAGAATGTTAAACAACATAAGAAAATGTTAATGCCAATAATAATAGTCATCAAGATTGATTATAAAAATATGTTGATATAGTACCTTTAACATGAATCAAAATGAGTGAAATGAGTAAATAAGAAACGATTGTCATTGTAACATACTTCATGATTCAATAGATTGTAGAAATTTTCTCTTATACTTTTAACACTTATGTTTATTGAACTATTGTAACGAATATATATATATATATATATATAATATATATATATATATATATATATATATAAATATTATAGGCTTTCTAAATATAGCCAACGAAATCGTCGAGATTAATCATTGGGAGAATTGGCAATTTACCCCAGATTGAAAGATTTCTTGTCCCTTTACACCTATTTTGACTTTGGTCATTTTTGGTCAAGATTGCCCTTCAATTTATTTATAAACTCATACAAAATGTTTTTTCAAGTGAAAACAAATTCCATAATTCCTAAAAATGATTTCAGCACTGTGTAAAATATTTGAACATTTTTGAAAATGCTTATGATATTTAAAAAAATATTATAAGTTTCGTTCTACAAATCTAAAATAACAAAGTAGAATACGTTTTCTACAAGATATTCGTTGGTCTAACCTCCGTAGAACATAATATCTACAACTTATACATACCTCTTCCGGATGTAGAAGTTGATATCTACCAAGCCTTATAGGCTCTACCATTTTGTAGAATTCGCACCAAATATATTCTACACAATCAAGTATCTTCTACTACTCGTAGATTTTACGTTCTACGCGAAACACTGCTATCTACAAGAAATAGTTTTCGTATTCTACGTGTTTTTGTCTAATCTACATCCCGCAGAAGTAGTGTTCTACTAAAACCATGTTTTCTACGATCCGTAGTACTCGTGTTTCTAGTACACAATCTAGCAAAATTAGTGTCGTCTACGGTTTTGTAGAATTCATCTTCTGCGAAGATCGAGAAAATATTGCAACTGAATATTTTTCAAATCTTTCTTTCCTTTCTTTCTTGTTCGTTTTTTATTTATTTATTTATTAAATTTTAATTTTAAAACGAAAAAACAAAACATTATCCAATTAAAAGGAAGGGCAAAAATGAGAAAAATGCAAAAAAAAAAAGGTAATGGGACAAGACACAAATGTGAAGGTGTAAAGGGACAAAAACACTTTCAATATGGGGTAAATTGCCAATTCTCCCTTAATCATTCATGTTTGGAAATGTTCTTCTCAGAAACAGTCACTTGTACTTCCACATTTTTTTCGGACAAATTTTTAACTCATAGTTGAATAAGTCAAAATATAAATATGATAAAAATAGAAGAGAGAAAAAATGAATTTGTAACATGCACTCTTCTAACTGCTCTTTTAGTATAGTTTGCTACTATTTCTCTTTGATATGGAGATGAATAATGGACGGTATTAAAAATATGTCACGCTGCAAATTTACTATAAACATTTAGCTTTTCTTAGAAAAGCATCTAAGTTTGTTGTGACAATGATATTACGTATTATTGGTGCACCTCCATGTAAATAGTCAAACTACTACGTACACTAAGAGTTTATAAATTGTGAATTAGATATAATCAATACAATTAGGTGAGTAAGAGATGATTAAACTATCTCAAAGAGAAAGATAAACTCCATTTTGTTTTTAGGAGAGCGAATCAGAAATATTCGGACAAGGGGAAACTAAGTTTCTCATACAAACGCATACTTTTATCGATTTGACGGCAACAAAAAGCAATAAAATAGTGTCAAATAGCATTAGAGTGTTTCATTCAAGTTTGTCTCTCGTGGTGTAAACACTATTTCTTAGTAAATATATCTTAGGTAATGAAACTATACTTAAATTTAGCAAGGCATCGCACATTTGCAGAAATGTCTGTTCTCGGTTTCGTTTCGTCCATTAAAAGGACCATCCTCACACTGGCATTTTGGAGGTGTTGTATGCTTTTTGTCCCTTGTTTCACTAAATTCTTTAATGCACTTTTGAATTCGGTTGGGTCCGCATGATCCTGGTTTGTTTATAGTGGCATCACACGGTGGTTTCCGCCTTTGACAATCCACATCTAGTATTTTAAACAACATAAGAAAATTGTTAAAATATAAATCAAAATCTTGCGAGAAGATAATTTTTTTTTTTGGTAAGAACACATAATTAATTATCAAATACTCTGGAACATGTTAGTATAATACCTTGAACATGAATCAAAATGAGTGAAATGAGTAAATAAGAAACGATTGTCATTGTAACATACTTTTTTTTTTTTTGATAAAATGTAAATATTATTCAAAAGAAACATATTAGGTCATACAATTGTATAACCTTATTACACTTTGGTCCCATGGTAAAAAAATTGGAAAACACATGGAAGCAAACTAGTCGGTGAAACTACAACCGCAATCTCGTGGTTGCGGTGAATCTTCATGGACAAAATTAGCTAGTAGCTAAGTTCCTAGGAAGGAAAAGAATAGCAGACAAGCAAGAAGGAAAAGAAACTAAGAACTCCAAACTGATTGCTTAAAAGATGAAAGTCCCTTCTCTGGAGGCCCGAACCCGGATTGTTTCTCGTTGAAGTTGTGGTCCACAGCAGCAAGGACCAAATAAACTTCTGTGGGAAACTATTTGGATGGAACCTCAACGAGCCAAGACATTAAGTTGAAGACACTGCCGCTACTATGACACGGAGCGAGACCATCTGTAACGCAGAAGCTGTACTAACACCTCCATAGACAAAGCACACGATCGAAGAAACTTGCCCAATTTTCCAAAACAAGCAAAATCCAAACTCTTCATGTTTGTTTAACTGTTGTAACGAATTTGTGTTTATGTTTGATCAACAATCGTTATATATATATGCTAGGCCTAGGCACTCTAAACATAGCTATTTCACTTAAAAGATGGAAAAGAAAAGGTTTGAGTTAATGCAGCGAAATCGACGAGATTAATCATCCATGTTTAGAAAATGTTCTTCTTAGAAAAAGCCCCGTGTACTTCCCATATTTTTTTTTTTCTGTACTAATTATTAATTTTTTAAAAATCATATTTTAACAAGTCAAAATATGTGGCTTTAATCTAACCAAATCACTCGTATGAAATCAAATTCAAGTTGGAAAAAAGATGCTAAATTTTAACTCGGATAATCATAGATCTTTAGTTAGTGTCCAAAATCATGTATGTAGTAATCAGATAAATTGAAGTAGTGGCTAATCTCATCACACAGCCAAAACATCAAATCATAATTCCACCACAAAAACCAAAAACAAGAGAGATTTCAGTTTACAGTTTCACAAGATAATGTTTTTGTTTGGGATTTAAAAACAAGAACTTCATTTGGTCTTGTATTCAGAAATATAAAAGGACACAAAAGATATGTCTATTGAATCATACAAAGAAATTACTGCATATTTATATTTTTTCCATAAAAGAGAAGATTATTTAGTAGTAGATATGAATATTCATTTCAGCCCATGGCATACTTCTGAGTCCAGCTCCTTGCAGTGGACTCATACTTGTTTTTGTCAGTCTTGTACATGTGAGCTATCTCTGGCACCAAAGGATCATCCGGGTTTGGATCGGTTAGCAAAGAGCAGATCGATAAAAGCACCTGCACATTGCAAAAGTTGAAATCAGAACCGGAAACAAACCATTTCTTACTCCTCAATGTTTTGAATGGAAGTAAGAAAAAAACGAACCTTGGAAATGGTGAGAGCAGGACTCCACTGCTCCTTCAAGATATCGAGGCAAATGCTTCCATTGCTGTTGATGTTGGGATGAAACACCTTCGTCCTAAAGGCAACCTAGATTCCATCACACCATGTCAAAGAAACAATGAGATAAACGAAGCAACCACACAATGAAGAAGATACAAGCTTTAGCAAAATAAAAAACAGATTTTTAAAAAAAATTTGAGATCATTACCTTAGGAGGTTTGAATGGGTAATCTGGAGGGAAATGGATGGTTACAAGGAAGACACCTCCTGCATAAGGACTATCAGATGGACCCATAATCGTTGCCTGCCAATGAAACATGTCTTCAGCAACAGGTCCTGTAACAAAAAACTCCATAATCAAGAAGATGATGATAAACTCAATATCATACTGCACAAACATAAGGTCTTTGAAACAAAGAGATCAGGGTTTTATTCACAAATATATCAGCATATCCCAGAAAATATCATCATGAACGAGTTTGACACTTCGAATTACAAGATCTAACTAAATATATATATAATTCAGGATTATATATAATATTTGTTTTTGGTCTAGCTAGAGAAAAGTCACAAAGTTAAACCAGATCCCAGAGAGTACGGATCAAAAACGAGATAGTGTTTTGAATAATTCAGGATTATAATCATAAAACAAAACTGGAGAATCATCATAAGTAAAGTCAGGTAATAGCTCCAGATTGATACCAATTACCAAACGTCACAATTCTGAACAAATCCAAGCAGAAGAACGAGCAAAAGTCATAATTCAAATCGAAGCAAAACACGATCCATCAATTCAACACCAGCTCATAGAAACATAACTTGAATCGAAACATAAATTAAGCACCTGCGCTACATGATGTGGGTGGATCCTTCTGGAGATCCTTCAATTCCTTCAAGATCCGCTTCGACGCCATTTCCAAAACCTAAACGATCTTAAAAAAAAAGAAAAAAAAAAACAAAGATTCCAAACGGATTAAGAAGCCTACAAATCCGTGAGAATTATAACCAATAGATCCGGATTTACTCAGAATAAAATACCTTATCGATCAGCGAGGTTTTCGCCTTTTTCTTCTCGTATTACAGAGGAGAAGAAGAACGAAGACTTAGGAGAACAAAAAAAAAGAAGAAGAAGGAAAGTGGTGGTGGACGGAAGAGGAAGATGTAATGATTCTCTGTGGTCGCGTCCACGATAAATAGAGTGAGGATAATACTTTCTTTGACTAGTGGACTCACTTTTTAACATTCGGTGGCGGTTTTCATAATTAAAAAAAAAAAAAATCAATCAAGTGGCATTATAAACGACGCCGTTTGAAAAAGTCGTGCAATCTAACGGCTGAGGTCTTATCTTTAGGTTTGACGAATCATTTGAAGCCACGTCTTCTCTTCCACTTGCGAGATTATTTTTTTTCGAAGGCAGAATCCGAGAAAAATCAAACCGATTCCGAGTCATCGCCGCCGCGAGAAATGCCGAAGTTCGACGACGACTCTTCGCCACCTGGTGTTGACGGTGGAGATGACGATCGTAGTCCCGGGGAGGAAGACGGAGGCACTCCGGAGCCTTTCGCGGGAGCTAAAGTCAGGAGGAAAGCTTCTCGTTACAGAGAGCACCGTGGTGATTATCTTCGTGTCTCCTCTCGTCCTGGATTGATGCGGATTCTGGAGAAACAAGGTTAGGCTGCTCCATTTCGAAATTCGTACTAGTATGATCGAAAAGTTTCATCATCGGATCTAGTTTCAGAGCTATTAGCATCATTTGTTCTTGGATTTTTGAAATGTCCGATTCAGCATTTTTGCTTATCAATGATCAATCGATGCATATCTACAATTTTAGACGCTGTGATGCATGAAGCAGTATAAATACTCCTCGATCTCATCGAAACTATATCGGTTTTTGTGGTAGAGATGAAGTTGAAATGTGCGCTTTGTGTATACGTAGGTGACACGTCGATTCTGTTCGCTGATAAAGTATTGAAGTTCACTGGCTCGGGGAAGATGAAAAGGCGTATCTTTATCCTCACAGACTTCGCTATCTATCTAATCGATCCAGAGACTGAAGCTATGACACGGAGAATAGCCCTGGCAGCAGTAGAGAAGATGTGTTTGAGCAAACTGAGCGATAACTTCTTCGCTATCATTATCCCCACGGAGTATGATCTGTTCATGGCCAGCACTCGGAAGACTGAGCTTGTTCAGGTCATGGTTGATGTGACGAAAAGTGCATCTGACTATGACCTCGAACTGCTTCTCTCTAACAGGTAAAAGAGACCTTGATAAGAATGTTCCCTCTGTTTCGTCTCGTAAGGAATATGTGATAATGGTTTGTTTACCATTGTGTTCATTTCAGATTTGAGTACAATGCTTCTGCCTCGTTAGTTAAAGAAGTCTCCTTTGAGGAAGCAGAAGGTTTGAATTGAATAAAAATCTCTGAACGCACACATAATGAATCTATCTAAGTTTTTCTTTGGCTCATCAAGCAATACTACTCCTTTTTCAGGGGGTATCAAGACCAGTTTCAAGTGGAAGTGACTACGACTTCTTAACTTTCCTCGTTGTTCATACACTTTGGAGGGAGCAAGCCCGTTGCTGCGAATGTGAATGGATTCTTTCCTGCTGGCTACTAAAAGCTGTGATCAGGGCGGTATGTTGTTTATTATCTTCTGTTTCTTGTTTTAGATTCATCCCTAGAGAGAGCTATGTAACTTTTATATGAAGAGAATGCAAACTACTTATTTTTTCTATATGTATGAATCGAGTTTCTCTTTGGTCTTGCTATAGAGTGAAGTGAAATATTAAAACCCTTTACTGAATGGTCAAATACATGAAAAGGAAAGATGAATAGTCTTTCTCTCACAGTATATACGGCGATCCTGATAGACTGCCAATTGGAGTTGAGCCTGTGGAAACCTCTGATCTGTATCCGCTGGCTAGCTTCTCCGGTCGTATCTCTTCCACCATTCTCACTACCTCGACCATGTTCGGTCTCTTCTCCGGCAGCCTCGCCGTGCAAACCATACCAACCTGAAGCATCTCCACCATCTCTTCCTCTACTTGTGTACACCTCAAAAGCTCTTCATCAAACACCTCTCCAGTCCACTCCTCTCTAACCACCGAGTTCACCCACCTCACCAGGTTAGCTACTTCTGGCTTTCCCGTTAGTACCTCGAATATCAAGACGCCGAAACTATACACATCCGACGCTTGTGTCCCCTTTCTCGTGTCTGTTATCTCTGGTGCACGATAGCCAACTGCATGTCGGGGTAGCGAATGCATCAGTGCGGCCATTCCTGCTCCAGAGATGCAGCCGTATCCTTTCGCGTTGAGGAAAACGTTTGAGGATTTTACGTTCCCGTGGACTAGTTTCCCTCCGCTTTGCGAGTGGATATGAGCCACTCCTCTTGCTGCTCCATACACCATGTTCAGTCTCGTTTCCCATTCTAGTGGTTTCCTATTCGTGTGTCCTCTCTGACCTGAGTAGTCACACCGCACATAGACTAAGATATAAGCAGAGGATAGTGTTAAGGGTAATGAATAGACTCATACCGTGTAGTAATGAAGAAAGACTTCCATGTTCGTAATAGTCATAAACGACGAGCTTCTCATCCTTAGAGTAGAAATATCCTCGTAGAGTGGCAACATTGTCATGCTTGATATTGCCAAGTTGTTCGATTTGCTGCTCGAATTCTCGCTGAGGCACACACACTTCCTTGATCCTTTTCACTACGATGGTCGCAGAGTCCTCGAGATCAACCTTGTAGGTTGTCCCGAACGGTCCCTTTCCTAAAACTTCTGCAGAAGCTCTCAGCAAGTCTTCCAAGTCAAAGACAAGATTCTTCCCTTCGAAAAACACAATCTTGTTATCTCCTTCACCAAGGTTTGGATCTGAATCTTTCCTCTTCTTGCTAGGTTTCTCCTTTGTAGACCTTCTCTGCTCGTCTCTGTTATGGATGATTACCAATAAGATAGCGAGGAGAGCCAGTAGCGCAAAACACGCGCTTAACGTTATGCCAAGAACTTCATGGTTGTGGTGCTTCGTGTGTTTCCTAACAGGAGCCAGCTTACTCGAGGAGACATTGTTTCCGGCGAACGCTGAGATTGGAAATCTCTGCAGTGACTGTGGTACGGTTCCTGTCAGGTTGTTTCGAGCTAAGTCGAGCAGCTTCAGCCCCGGAACATGGAGATTCGGAATCTCACCGGAAAACTTGTTATCCGCAAGATTCAGAGAGCGTAACCGAGTTAGCTTCTCGATCGAAGACGGAACTCTACCGTCAAACCGATTGTGAGAAAGATCAAGAAGTTCAAGGCGCTCCCAAGAAGAGAAATCAGTAGGCAAAGGACCAGAAAACTCGTTGTGGTCGAGTTTAAGCTCGGTCAAGTTCTTCAAAGCTTGTAAACTCGGAGGAAAAGGTCCAGAGATGTTGTTAGAACTGAGAGTGAGAAGCCGAAGATTAGTTAACCTGGCTATGGTGGTTAGTTCGAGACTCCCGCGAAGACCTGTGGCTGCTAGATGAAGAGCGACGACATTGGAATGATCGGAGTTGCAGGTGACGCCGGTCCATTTGGTGCATATGGAAAGTTTTGGTGACCAGTTGAGTGAATGAGAGTGATTGATGTTGCTTACGAATTGGAGAAGAGTGTGTTTATCTTCTTTGATCGTCTCTGCTTCTACGCAGAAGATCACTCCGATGAGTATTAAAATAACTTGGCTCTTCATTTTCAGTGTGTGGAGAAAAAAAAAAACTGGTTTAAGAGTAAAGTGACGTTGTAATGGATGAAGATGAAGATGAAGATGAAGATGAAGAAGTGAGATTTAGCTATATAATAAGTTTACAATTATTGACTTTATGGGGAGCTATGTGAATAGATAAATAGGTTAAAAGTTTATTTTATCTGTTTATTAACGAAAGTGGGTTGCTTTAGGTTAATGTTAGGTTCGGCGAGTTGTTGACTTGATGCCTAACAACTCTGTCTCTGTTTTTGTATTTTTGTTTGACAGAGAAAATCGCGGTTACTTTGTTACTTTTTGGGCTGTTTTTTTCCGTGAGAAGTTTCAACTTTGAAACAATGGATTTGTGTATAAAGTCGTGTGTTCTGTTCTTTTTAACAGTTGAAATTTTAGAGAATAAAAAAGGATGTCCATGGTTCATGCTTATTGTCGAGTCACTCTCTTCTCCAATCTCCCCATTCACCTACCGAAACACACAAACTCGATATAGAATCTCTTAGATCAGAGGAAAGAGACATAATATTCGAGTTCATGTTTTGTTATCGTTGACTCAAGAGAAGGTTTCTGTTTAATATCTTAACTCATGGAAGGAACCACAAAGCATGGGTCTTTTAAATTTTTGAGACTTGTATGTATCTATTTCGGAGTTAAAATTTTTGATCTCATGTATTTTGTGGAATGTAGAGTTATACCAAAGTTTATAATTTTTATAAGAAATTTTGAAATGCATGCAAAAAGTATGAATTGTGTCATATGACAGAGTTACGTTATAATAACCAAGTTCATCAATTTTTAGTATCTTGAAAATTTCTCAATGATGTACATAGTACAAAATTGTATCAATATAGTGAAATATAGAAAAAATATGAAAGTAAAGAAATAATTAAGATATCTAAAAGAATAAAAAAATCTATAAGAATTAAATATTTCTTTGGTTCGTTTCCATCGAGATAATATTAAACCGTTAAAAAAAAAGAGATTATATCTGCAAACCATATTTTAAAATTTATTTCGTTTACTATTATTATATTCAGTTTTAGATTAAATATAATTTTTGTTTTATGTGATTTAAATTACCTGGGATCGATAAAGAATCCAAAAATTCTGTTTCTGGTAGATTGCATAAAAAACAAATATCTGATATGAAGAATTGAACTATCAAACAAAAAAAAATCAATCAAGCCAAAGCTGGGGTAGGATAGAAGTATCCTCATATCCAAACAGATCTCATCCCCTCAGAGACTTCTTCGTCGCTGATTTGATTTCAGTTTCGTCTCTCCTCAGCAATTTCTCCAACTAAAGAAACAATCAACAATGGATTACGACTTCAGGAACAAGTCCGGCCCATCCTACGGCCGACCGATGTACGGAACCGCGTCGGCTTCTCCTTCGCCAGCATCTAGCCACCCTATGTACGGACCTCCGGGATACCCGAAGATCGGTCAACAAAGCGGCCACGGCCAACCGTTCTTCCCTCCGCCGGAGAGAAACTCTTCGTTTCAGCATAACTCTTCTCCGTTCCCTTCTTCTTCTTCATGTAAGTCTTCTCTGATCTCGAATTGCTTTGATTGTCGCGAATTGCTTTCTACGATTTGTAGCTGATGCTCGTTGATTTTTGTTTTTTATTTCGGTAGCTGGATTAGGAATCAAGGTGACTCTGAAGCCTGAGTATCGTATCACTCCACCGGTGAGAATTTCAATACTTTTTCTCAATTGGATTCAGATTCATGTTCTCAAATCTCCACTTGCTCGATCTTCCAACTCTGGGATTGAATATACATTCTCACGGACTGTAATATTGCAATGTTTCAGCCACAGTTGTTGCCTCGAGTGGGAGACATTCCTCGGAGCAATTTCCAATTCGATTTCGGTTTAGAGAGGAAAGTCCTTGCCGAGGCAGAGAAAGATAACCCAGACTGGAGCAAATTCGGGACCGAGAATCCTCCTCCACCGGCTAGATTTCCAGAACCAACACCTTCTTCACTGGTAAGATTCCTTCAGTGATATAAAAATTTGATCTTGACTGGTGATTAGTGTGCACCAAAGTATAGTAACAGTGTGATCTCTAGGAAGAAACATGAGAATTGTTTCAAGATTAGTTTCTGCATTACAGTGTATGATGATCCTTCATTGTTAATAAGGGATTCGAAAATGCAGGGTGTAGATCCGGTAGTGATGAAATATGCTGGGCTTAACCGAGAAGCTGTCAACATTGCGGTTGCAAACTATGGTGATAATCCTACAAAGGTGCTTTCTTTAATCTTTATCTTCTTCCATTCTTATACTCCTTAGCTAGTAGCTACAATCATAAGAAGTGCAGCCATTGTAAAGGAGTTTCTGATTGCTGTTTTTTTACGCAAGTTCAGGTTCAGGAATTTGCAAATGGGTTCACAGCGATACGAGAGATGGGGTTTCCAACAAACGCTGTCGCAGAAGCTCTCTTCATGTTTGAGAACGACACTGATAAAGCATTGTCACATTTGCTCCATGGCTCTTCTTGATTTGGCTTTCAAATATTGTCTACTTATACTTTACAATCAAGTTGATAACATATAGGTTACGAAAGTACAGATATTGGGTTTTCACTTGTGTAAATGGATGATTTGTTTTGAGGGATAAAACTTTGTCGGTCAAAATATCTATTTCATTGCCTCACATCCAAAACCTTTGCATAACGCAATAACAAATGCCACAACTCACAAAGGGTAAAATGTTGTGAAATGTAATAAGATACACAGAGAAAGATGTGCAAATTAGCATTTCTATAAATTTGGTCCGACTACACTCCCGCGCATATAGCTTCTGCAAACGTAAGAGAAGAAACATTAGATAAATATCTAAGCACGTATGTTTCCAATATAATGAAACAGTTAAGTAAATGTGCAGTAGAAGATAAGGTATATATATACCTGAGGACCAAGCAGAACAACAAAACTTTCCTTCATCTACATGCTTAACATCAAGACCCACGAACCATGAACCCGTGCTGACGTCATCATGAGCATACCCATGGAGGATGTCTCTGTCATAATCCCCATCATCATCATACAAAACAAACAATCACAAACTCTGGTTTCAGTTTTATTTCTCTCGATGCGTGGAATATAAGATAATGGATTATGTGTCACTGAGAGTTGAAACTGACCTATTGATTGATACAAATCTAGCCAATGCATGCGTTATAACATACATCTCCCCATAAGCATGCCGGAAGTATCTGTGAGATACATAAAACAAGGAACAGGTGGATTCTTTGCCACAAGATTGGAACTAAGAAAGTTAATTATGTGATCTCTCGCGTTGTTTAACTTACGCTTTCTTGTCACCGAATTTCCACCATTCTGGTTCATACCATTTGTGGTTCCTGCCAGAAAAGCCAAACTTAAGTTAAGAAACATACTACTCCGAAGATTCTTTTTTAGTCCTAGTGGTGTTGGGTTGCTAAGCTCAAACTTACGGTTCTGAGAAAACTTCGCCAGATTTCATGCAACCGATGTAAGCCCGTGGGTTCTCCAGATGTGCTGCAAGTGTACTTCCGAGAGCATCTGCATCATATCAATAGCATTCATAGCATATGTCAGCCTTTAAAGCGGCATGGAAAAGATGTGCACGAACATCATGCTCTGCATTTCACAGCCTACAAATAGTTCTCACTGAGCATCTAATCTACAGTCAACCTAATTAACACAGACAACCCTAGGATTCAGCTGTAAAACACTCTTAATTTTACAAACTTACCAATATTTACGTAGATATTGTCGTTGGCCTTTGCATAAAACTGTGCATCCCACCTATCTGCTGCATAGGCAAAGAACAGTTTCACCTTCTTAGAAGCTTCCTCTGGTGCCTCAACGACATTATCCTGAAATGCAGTAAACGGCCAAGCTTATTAAGCTAACACAAGCGAGCTAATAATTCACTGCTTGAGGTAGTAATCTAGAACGAGTCAGAAAATCACATACAAGAATAATGAAGTCATCGGTTTGACTATTCTCAGCGTCAATGCTCTTGTCCATGCTGTCCCCTTTATTTGCGCTACATAACACAACAAAATAATGTTTCAAATCAAGATTTCAGTACATGTAATTACAGAAATCGAATACAAACCTTCTTCCAATAACAAATCGTGCAATCACACCCTTTTCAGTCTCAAGTTTTCTCAATGATGCTGCACCTGCAACAAAAAAGGACCTCTTAAGCTCCCAATGAAAAGTGTCTTCAATAAGAAGGAAGAAGCCTTACCCGTCCCCAACCATGCTTGCCTGACTGCGTCTCTTTTCTTCTTGTTACCCAAAGTTGTCATTATACCGATTACCACTAAAGGTCTTTTCTTGGTTTCGGTTCCATCAGTATGTTTGGGAATTTTTGGAACAAAACCTTCTTGCCTTGCTACACTTAATTCCATCTCAAGAGCTGATAGTGTCTTCTTCTGTTCCCTAGAAGAAGAAAAACTCTACCTTATAAAAGACCATGGAGACTAAATATTTCAAGAGGAAAGCAAATCGGACAAAGCACCCGAATTTTACCTGCAAGCTATGATCTTCAAAGTATCATCCACTGATATGGCAGATTTGCCCTGAAAGAAACCAAAAAAGAACAATATAAGCATTCAAGAACATTACGCCAGAGCAAAGACAAAGATTTCTGACATGATATTGTATCAAGAACCTTATCACATTCACAAGCATGAAACTGACATCCAAATACTAACCTGTCCCGTTACTCTATCGAGCTCCTTGATTAGATGAACCCTAGTTTGGGATTCTTGCCATAAACTATCACAAACAAAAGCGACGAGAGCACAATTCCAAAAACAAATAAGAAATCACAGGAATACAAGTTTTTGTTAACTCGATTGATGATAAAAAAATGAAGATTAGGAACTAACCGGCCTGCTACATAGAAGGAAGCGAAAGTTGCGAACATGGAGAGCAAAAGGGAAGATATTCTCGAGCTCGATAATCTGATACTCGACCCTTTCCTCGCCATTTTCAACCCAAATCTCGCAGCTTATTGAAACAGATCCAAAATCAGATCTCTTAATCAAAACCAATCAAATTCACGACGACGCGACGAAAATGCCTGTCTCCGTATACGCTCCTCCTGCCTCTTTCACTATCGATCAAAGCTTCATTTATCAACTCTCCAGATGTCGGAGTTTCTGGATCCCACTGATTCGCCGTCAGTCAATACAATCGATTTGGAAACAGTCGTTGGATCTACTTACTATTCCGGTGACGATTCCACCAGACGAACACTTAGTCGGAGAAACGGCGAGGTTACTCCAGCGACTGGATCTTCCGATCAAACTCCTCGCGAAAATTGAAATCCGGATTGGAAAAAACTGAGAGATAAGAAGAAGAATGCCGTTACGACGAAGGAGAGATTTATGATTTCTGATAAAAAAAAAATGGTTTGTTTTGGTCTGTGTGAATTGAATTGTTCGGTATCTCTTAATTATTTCGCACCGAACCTATTCTTGTTCTAGCTAGAGTCGGATTCAGAACCGGATCGGTTTTTCCTTTATTTATCTTCGGTTTAGGCACAATTCTAAACCGAAATCGTCGTCCATCGATCTAATAATACTCTTTCGATCCAGCTTCTTCCACTCTTCTCGAATCCTCCGATTTTCTTTTCTGAACAATTTTGTTTTGTTGATCCCAGTTCGAAGGCGTTAAAATGGGAAACACTTCCTCAATGCTGACTCAATACGACATTGAAGAAGTTCAAGGCCATTGCCAAGATCTATGTGAGATCAATCTTCCTCCACTTTCTCTTTCTCTCAGTCTCGTTGAAATTTCTATGCTTTTGATCCGTTGTTTCTATGCCATTTTAGTTGAGCAGCAAGAAATTCTGTCTCTGTATCAAAGGTTTTGCCAGTTAGATCGGAATTCAAAGGGATTCATATCTTCTGATGAGTTTCTCTCTGTGCCTGAGTTCGCCATGAATCCACTCTCTCAGGTAATTTTGTCTTTTTTTTTTTTTTCAATAAAAATCTCATCCTTCATGAAATCTTGTTAAATTTTGTTTTGTTTTGCTGGATACAAAATAACAGAGGCTGCTTAGGATGGTTGATGGTTTGAACTTTAAGGAATTTGTGGCCTTCTTGTCTGCATTCAGTGCAAAGGCAAGTCTAAGACAAAAGGTTAAACGTGAGTAAAATAGTCTCAAACTTGTGGCAAAAATCTCGCTTTTTTTTTACACTTTCACTGTATTGAATGTGTAATGTATGTAAGTATCATATAGACTTGTTGTTTCAGTGATTTTTAAAGTCTATGATTCGAATTGCAATGGGAAAGTCTCTTCTAAAGATATCATGGAAGTGTTGCGTGACTTATCAGGATCATTCATGTCTGATGAGCAAAGAGAGGTATGTTATAGAAAACTTAGTAAACAGTTTTTTGATTGTCCATCTTAAAAATGATTTATAATCTCATTACCTTGTGTTTTGAAACTTGTGATGTAGCAAGTACTGAGCCAGGTTATGACTGAGGCAGGATACACGAGTGACTCTTTCTTAACTCTGGAGGATTTCATTAAGGTATTCAAATTTGTTTGTTGTGATCGTTGTAGCTTCGAAACTGCAGCAAATCTTGAATCTGATACTGCATCTCCTTCCTTGTATCTCCAATGTCACACAGGTCTTTGGGAGTTGTAAACCGGAGATGGACGTTGAAATTCCTGTGGATTAGGTTTCTGACTCATATTGATCAAATTCTTAACTCAATCTCATCAGTGTATTTGTGTTATGTGGATAAATTTAAAAACTTCTTTTATGATTGATCCAACTAATTTTTAACTGACTTTTTCTCAACCAAAAATGTGCTTTGCATAAAGTTGTTCTTCTTTTGCAATAAGTAGGCCAAAAAGAAACAAACTTTTATGGAATGAAAGTAATAAATTTGTTACCTAGATTGGTTATAAAATTTTGACCCAACGGGAATCAAACCAATCCATTATTATACATTCTGATCTAGATTTATTTCCTTAAGATTTTAAATGTCTGTTCTTCATTTGTGTTACTTACTTATCCGGCGGTTGAAAATCAGCTAAAGGAGTTAAGACGACGACGTTTAGAAAACCATGGGCCGTCAATGATCTCGTCAAACTCTTACCAGAAGATTAGATAATTCTCCAAAATTCGTTTTTTCCCCTTTTCGAATTTGCGTTTCTTCAGAGCTCTCATCCTTTCCGTGTGCTTCACAACTTCATCATCATCTCTTTCTCGAGTTTTACAAGTTATTGCGTCATCAGTTGTTGAAAAAAATCCACAACAAAAGTTTCAGTTTTTTTGTGTTTTTCAATTTTATCTCCATTTCTTCCATAGCACCATCTCAGAAACTTTCATTTTGATTTCGATCGGGATTATGTTAATCAATTGCTGAGAGCTTCTTCCTGAATTTTGATTTTCCCCTGTGAAAAACCGCCATGGCCGCGGCTTTAAGGTCGAATACCTCAAGAGAAACCGCTTCTCTCACACTCTCTCACTTTCGGTACTTCATTTTCAACCGCGTCCACACCGCTCGAGCCGCGACTCCTCCTCACTGCAATCATCGCGCTAAATCCGATGACCCATCAAACAGATTCCCAAGTAAGATTGCTGCCTCTATGGGAACGAGCTTCTCCCATCATCGGAATTCGAGCAAGGGTTATGCTACGGTTTGTGCCCAGAAGCTGAGCGGTGGTGCAGGGTCTGCTATTATGAGCTCGCAAGGAGACCCGCCGGATCTGTGGCAGCCTCCGGGAGATGGAGTTTCCGTTAGGCTTAATGGGTCGAGCGTTAATCTCGGTCGTGGCGGTGGCGGCGGTGGAAGCAGTACCGGTGCTGGTAACGGAACAGCGTCGAATTCGAAAGAAGATTGTTGGGGTGGATCCAATCTTGGCTCTGATTTTCCGACACCGAAGGAGATTTGCAAAGGTTTGAACAAGTTCGTGATTGGTCAGGAGAGAGCTAAAAAGGTGAAAATGATGATACTTTGAAATGACTATTGGTTCATGATAAAGAGTAGACTCAATTCTAATTTTGCTGCTGAGATTGGTTTGTTTGTGGATAAAGCTAAACATTTATGTGATGCTTTAAGCTTTAAAACACTCACAACTGCCTATTTGGAGCTTAGTTTCTAAGTATGATTGTAATTAGAAAGTTACATTTTTTTCCTCCGATGTTATGGTGTGCACGGAGCTGTCCTCAATAGTAAATTGAATGCAAATTTCAGCTCTGATTGTTGATTTTTGTATGTGGTTTGGTTTAGACTTAGTTAGTTATAAAGAATTCTCATGTAATCTGGCGGATGCAGGTGCTTTCAGTGGCAGTGTACAATCACTACAAGAGGATATATTACGAATCATTGCAGAAACGGTTAGTTTATTCTTTTATGTTTACCTGAATGCAATGTTATGATAGTTTATATCCTTTACCTAGGAATATCATAGTTTTGCGGGCATGTTCGTTCATTTGCATCTGTTTGTTTCTTTGAGATTTCACGTATTAGTACGAGATAGGTTTGTTTTGATACTGGAACTTTTTGGGAAGCTAGGTCCACGGGAGAAACTGATAGCAGCACTGCAGCGAAACCAGCAGATGATGATATGGTAGAACTTGAGAAGAGTAACATTCTCCTGATGGGACCAACTGGGTCAGGTAATATTCTGACCACACCAATCTACAATGCTATATTACACTTCTTGTGAAGCTTCTTTTTTTCATCTCATCTGTTTTGGTGTTTTTTCGTCAAGCGCAGGGAAGACACTGCTTGCGAAAACCTTGGCACGGTTTGTGAATGTTCCTTTTGTCATTGCGGATGCAACCACACTGACTCAGGCAATTTCTCGACTTTCTTCTAGCCTATTTTGGCGTATGTCCTTTTCGTGATGACCAGTCTGTGACATTTGTATTTTTTTGTTCGGAAATGAAATAATTTGTCAGGCTGGTTATGTGGGAGAGGACGTCGAGTCTATATTATACAAACTTCTCACAGTAAGCTTCTAAAATCTAAACATTTTGACTTGTACACTACTATCATCGATTTCTTGATATTGATTATGTTGTGTGGATTTGATGTCTCTCTCTAGGTTGCAGATTATAATGTTGCAGCTGCACAACAGGGGATTGTTTACATAGATGAAGTTGACAAGATAACAAAGAAGGTTAGAACTAAAATAAAAAAATTCAGTTTGGAAAAAATGAATATTATTTTCTGTGCTTTCTTAGATGAATTTGTGTTCTTTGTACCTTTTGGTTACCAGGCAGAGAGCCTTAACATCAGCAGAGATGTATCAGGAGAAGGTGTTCAACAAGCATTGCTTAAAATGCTGGAAGGAACAGTAAGTTTAAAATTATTTACTATTTGCTTTGAGAACTAAGATCTCAATACTTTTTATCTAACTCTCTCTCTCTCTCTTTCTGGATATAGATCGTTAATGTACCTGAGAAGGGCGCTAGAAAGCACCCTAGAGGCGACAATATCCAGGTTTGAATGGCAATGGTTTTAAGTTTTTCCTCCTAGAGTTGATTAAAGGTGACTTCTCTGTTACATCTGTTTCTTACTCGCGTCCTTGTCGACTGTCTGCAGATAGACACAAAGGATATACTCTTCATATGTGGTGGTGCCTTCGTAGACATCGAAAAGACGATCTCAGAGAGGTATGACCAGTGAAAAAACCCCCAAAAATCCCTTTCTATCTCATCAAAGTACCTTGAAAGATCAACTGAAATATTTTTTTCCAGGCGCCATGATTCTTCAATAGGGTTTGGTGCTCCCGTACGTGCTAACATGAGAGCAGGTGGTGTTACAAACGCCGCTGTTGCATCAAACCTAATGGAAACTGTAGGTTATTTTCCACAAAATGATACATTGTCTATTGAGGATTCTTCTGCTTGTTTCTGGTTTTGTATCGAAAGTTTATAATGAGATGTTTGGTGTGTGGCAGGTGGAAAGCAGTGACCTGATTGCTTATGGTTTAATACCTGAATTTGTTGGAAGATTTCCAGTTCTCGTCAGCCTATCTGCTTTGACCGAGAACCAACTTATGCAGGTTAATATGATTATAAGGGAATGATTCTTGCATTACTCTGATTGTGTTCACAGAATAGGCAATAATGTCATTCTATTGCAGGTGCTGACAGAGCCCAAGAACGCACTCGGAAAGCAATACAGAAAGATGTACCAGATGAATAGTGTAAACTACACCTCTCTCTCACACTCTCTCGCTTGCTCTTACTCTGCTCCAAATCTTGAGACAAATCTCCATCTCCTCTTTCTTCAGGTAAAGCTGCATTTCACGGAAACTGCGCTGCGGCTAATAGCTAAAAAAGCAATAACGAAAAACACAGGCGCTCGTGGGTTAAGAGCTCTTCTAGAAAGCATCCTCATGGATTCTATGTACGAGGTAAAATACACATCTTATCACTTACAAACCAATGTCATCAAATCTGCACTCAAACTCTTTTACATGGCTCTCAAAACGTTTTCTTTTCTTTCTTTTTTCTCAGATTCCGGATGAGAGTACAGGGAGTGATATGATAGAGGCGGTTGTGGTGGATGAAGAAGCAGTTGAAGGAGAAGGACGTAGAGGCTCTGGTGCTAAGATTCTCCGTGGGAAAGGAGCTTTGGTTCGATATCTCTCTGAAACCAACTCCAAGGATTCTCCTCAGGTAATGGCATACCACTGAGTAATGAAAGAGCGTGATCCCGGTTTTAGCTAACCGAATACCAATTGTATGGTTGGTTTGATGATAACCGGATTATCTGAAATTGCTGTTTGCAGACGACCAAGGAGGGATCGGATGGAGAAATTGAAGTAGAGGCGGAGATTCCGTCCGTTGTAGCCAGTATGTAATGTATCACATCATCATCATCATCATCCAGAAACATCTGGTAAATGTATCTCTGTATGCTTTATATTATCTTTCTCTGTACATAAATGAAGGAAAGAAACAATGTTGGATAAAAAGTTTAAAGAGAAACACAAAGGATGCCACAATTTGCACATTGTTAAATGATCATGTAACTTTTATGCAATGCCCCTTATTTTACTCTTTCTGTATCTTAATTCAAGCTCTTCTGTGAAATCATCATCTTGATACTTTTCAAGATGTTATGTCATATAATAAGTACACTTAAAAATGCCTTGTGGACTACACAATTACATAAAAATCTTTGAGTTTCTATATAATAAAAACCATTCGTATAAAAATGTTACATACAAGGCGGAAGACTTGTCTATTGTGACAAGCCGGAGAAGAAGGCCACGCCGGTTGACGGCAACCACGCCGAACCGGAAATGAACTGAGCCACCGTAAACTTGCTGGCCTCGACTGTCGAGGTAATAACACGATAACCGGGCCACTTGACCCGTTGACCCGTACCTGACCCCGGTCCTCGGTTCATATACTCACCGTAATACAACGTGTCCAAAGCAAACGGACCGTTCCACTCCAACCACCCACGCGGGTCAATATGGTCTCCCATGTCCGACATCATGTACACAACTCTAGAGTACAACTTCCACGGACGGCCGAGATACGTCGGATAACTCCCTTTGGAGGCCTCAAGATCCGCCGCGGCTAGTAGCTTACAAGCGTGGATAGAGATCCCTGTGTTCTGGTTCGGGTCTTTCCGGTTCTGAGCCGTGATCGTGATTTTCTGCTGCGGCATCGGTTTACGAGCGTAGATGTTACAGCTCTGTAAGATCGCAGCTGCGTTTCCGAATATGAAGTCGACCGTTCCGTAAATATCGCATTCTCGGTAAAACTGTCGGTTTGAATGCACGTAGAGTGCGTCTTGGTAGCCGATGACGTTGCAACGGTAAACCACCGCGTGGTCTCCGCCGACTCGGAGCGCCACCGCCTGGTGCTTCGCCGGTCCGGCGTAGTTCTCAAACGTCATGTCTCTCACTATAAATCCAGCTCCAGTAGCCGCTACATTAATTTAAAAAAAATATACATAAATCAATAATTAATTATAACAAACAAACAGAAAGAGCTAAAAGCTTTTAGTGCTGTTTAATGTTGTTTGTTACCGAAAGTGGCGGTGTGAAAAGTGGTGAGATCATCAGCGATGCTTTTTCCACCGGTTATGACCGTTTTACCCTTGCCGTCTCCGATGAACATCAAGTTTGTCTTTTTCCTCCCGACTTTTAGGTTTTCTTCTTCGTACCTTCCTGATTTGACGTAGATGACGAACCGGCGGCTGCTATGCTCCGGCGCTTTCTTGATCGCCTCTGCGATCGTCTTAACCGTGCCGTTACCGTCTTTTGACACCGTGATATCGGCTTGGATCGCCGTCGCAGGAGTACCGAGAAGCTCTCTGTCTTCTCTCTTCAGCCAGTTCGGAAATTCCTCTGTTTCTTCAGTGCCAAGCAACTTCCTATTGTTCACCACCGGAACTCCGGTTAGTTCTTTGACGTTACCGGAGAATATAGCCAAGCAATTGCTCACCATCTCCGACAAATCCTTCACCGCTCCGATTACTTGTTCCTTCACTCCTCCTCCGTCTCCTTCCATTTCGTCGAATCCGTCCGTGCATGTGTCGTGGTTAGTCATCGCAGAGCTGAGCCACGTCATAACATCGGAATGAGACTCGTCGTTACCGGAGACGACAACAACGGAGGAGAGTGCGCGTGAGAGCGCGTCTACAGAGTCGTCGAGCAGCTCGAGGCAAGAGTCGTAAGCCGACCGTACACGTGGCGTCATCTCAGTGAACGTGATCGTCGAAGAGGAATAAAGCGCTTTGCTGAAACTCCGAAGCGTCGCGTTGAAGGAGATGTGGATGAGCTCTTGCTCGTCGGCGGTTAAAGATCCCGGAAAATCGAGAAGCGTGTCGATGCAGAGGTTCGTGTATTGAGCTTTGCTACAGGTTCGGGAGATTTCCCGCGTCGGTTTACGGGTTAATTTCGGCTCGCCACGATCCGAACCTACAGCTCGGATGCCGGCAAAGATCCCGAAGCAGACCACTGCAACTACCAAAAGCGCCAAACTGAAGAGAATTGCCTTCGTTTTAGTTTTCTTCTGTAGCTCAGGGAGTGACGTGGCGGGATCTTTCTGGTTCGGGTGTGTTACCGAACCTGATTCTCCGAGCCTATCGTAACCCATCGTTGCAATTTTTTTTTGGGGTTTTAGAGACAAAGATGATGTGGAAGGCTCTATAAATATTAATTTTTATAGATGGAGCTTTCTCGTTACACTTGCTATTATAGCATATAATGACATGCATTAGAAAAATCTATATATATAAAATACTGGAGTCTCTTTTGGGAGCGCCATGTCAGCAAACTCTCTTTTAAATAATGCTTTTTCAATTCTTTTTTAAGACTAATAATTTATTACATCTATTACTTAATCATAATAGAATTTGAAAAGTCATAAATAGGATGAGATGGGGCAATACAAGACGGAAAAAACACGAGACGTATGTGAATGAATAGGACGGGGAGGAACGAGACGGGAAATAGAACAGGATAGGAGGTAACCTCAGCGAAAACTGAACAACTGCGAGAGCGGTTAACCGACACCAAAGTCAGCTGATCAGAGACTGAGGACCCGGGTGGCACGGAGAGAGGGCACAGAGAGAACAGGATAGGGGAAGGTAAATTTTTGCCTACCTCATGTACACTGGAGGCTAACCATGTTTAGATACCGGCAGTACCAAGGGAAATCATAATATCACACCGAAGGCCAGTCCAACAGAGAAGACAAAGTCAGCAAGCTAGCAAACCTAGGTGACGAAAGAAAATGACATAAGACAAGACAGGAAAAAATATAATGAGACAGGATGGGACTAGACGGGATGGATATGACGGAAAGGACGGGATGAAAAGAAACATAATGGAACGGAAAAAAGTGAATTTAGCATATCCCTAATTATATTTAGGGACATGACGGAAAAAAACGGAAAGAACGGGATGAGACTGGACAAAACGGGATGGAACAGTCTCAGACATGATGGGATTGTACGTGACGATACGGACATGGCGAATGAGACGGGAAAGAATGGGCATGATAAAAGGAACAAAATGGGAGGAATGAAAAATGATGGTTCAAATTTTTTGTGTAAACTTAATTATATTTAATTTTCGGAAATTTTTGAGTAACCCTAATTATATTTGATTAATATGTGTATGACATTTTTAAAATAATAATAAATCATATAATTAAATTAAATTTGTGAAAAATAATAAAATCAACACAACAATTTCAATTCCCGCGCGAAGCGCGGGTCACCCCTAGTATATATATAAACTAATAAACTAAATTAGACATGTAGATAATTGAATTGTATAGTATGTCTCATAGCTGTAATATATTATTAGTGATGTTAACTGAATTGTAGTATTCAAAAGGACCACTAACAAACAGAATTTGTCGATGGCTCTAACTACAACTATATATATATATATACAGTGATTTGTATTAATCATAAATGTGTACATATACGAGTGTTATTTGAGTGTAATGCTCATTAAATCATTTGGTAGCTTGTCTAACGATCGCATCATCATTTTTTTGTTTTATTATCTGTTATATCATATAATATAATATAATTTTCATTTGTTATGCTATTTCAATCTTATTACTCACGATGATAAGACTAATTAATAGATCGAACTTCCTACAACTAATTAGAAACACGACGAATATGTTTCACGAGCGATTCTACAATTGATAAGTTATGTGCACCACAAAAACCCATGATATTCTTAACATTAAAACAAAAACAAAAAAAACAAAAAAAAAAACCATGATATGGTAGAGATCTTCAAGAAACTTATTTCTATTGATGTGCAAAATTCTTATTTACTAGAAATTGAACCGTAAACCTAGTATAAAAACATTACCAAACTTTTTAAGGCTAAAAGGTCTTTCATGACGACTGTATGATTAATACACATTTGGTGCTTTCTTCTTTTCATAAATAGAAATTCACTATTACAAAAGCCAATTAACGATGAACTATTTGGTGCTTTAGAAACTTTATTTTATGGATCAACACAGCGGTCAAATTTACATTGCGATTGGTGCCTTTTCTCAATAATAGAAATCGGATCATATCTTTTTGTTAATTTCAACGAGCTCTCTGCTCACCTACGGTGTCGGTGGCATTTTATTGTCCACGGTTTTTTTTATCTTTCTTTATCTCGTTTGTTTAACTTTATATATAATTTGAACGAGATTAAAGAGACTAACTACATAATTACGGAAATTTAGAGATAATTCATTAGGTTTAACGTTGTTAAAGTAAGTGGATTGAACATCACTTATAAATCAAGACTAATCTAAAGTAAGTGGATTGATGATCATCACTTTTATTTTCATATATGATTATCTACAGTAATATTAATGTATTGACCATGTCATGGCCATCTCTTTATATACATGTAGATACACTTAAGCTATACGAACAATATATTTCGACATACACGTTTAAAATACCTATGTTATTTATAGTAGATTGAAACCCAAACCCGATATGTGTTTCAGTGTTTGTGTAGTGGTTTCAAATAATCTGATTAAACGATTTATAATTTCATAAATACATTCATTTTCCTGATTGAAAACATTAGTTTACCAAAATATAAAAAAGCATAAAAGATCGTGTAGTATAAGTTTACAAGATTCAACATTATTTGACCAGATTACCAAGTTCATGCCTTTTAGTCTGTTTTATTTTATTTTTTTTTTCTGGTGTGATTCTTAATCTATCCAAAAAACGATTTGATCATCTACCCAATTTCACGATTGAATGCGGTTTGTCCGTTGGATCATTACGGACTTAAAAACAAAAACATTGATAATACACACAAATGAAAACATACAAAATACAATGAGTAGAATTGTCACGCGCTTATGTGGTCGTCGAAAAAGTGAAGCGTTGATTGGCAAATCTACATCGTCCACCAACTCTAGTCCCCATATAATTAAAACGGATTAGTTATTAAGATTGGCTTCTACGTACCAATAATATTTACGTAACATACCTTGTCACGTCCATTAATATTTTACGTACATTATATGCAAAAGTGAATCAATGTTACGAGTTCTATCCTGTTTTTGGCCGTGGCTCAATCATTTCTAAAGGCCACACGATCCAATACTTCAATATATAAACCAAGATTTAGTGAAAGAACTTTACTAATCCTGGTTTATATATTGATGATTTGTTTGATTTTTTCCTCAATTAAGTCAATGTTTTTGCCAAAAAAAGAAAAGAAGAAGCAAAAGTCGTAAGTCTTCGCGGTGAACAAGATGTTGATATGATAGAATTCTTCTGTATGCGATGTGTATAGCTATTAGCTAATAGCCTAATGATAACAAAATAAAAAGTTTGGTACGAAGTCAATGTCAATAAGGGAGTGAGCTGTCCTCCTATCATAAGTCTTCTGTCCCTTAACCTCTTTTTCTTTTCATATCTTAGCCTTTTGTGCTTTGTCTCTTTCTTTCACAAAGTTCTACACTCACAATTTTATTAAGGATTGATTCTTGTTGTCGTAAGTACTTTGAGCAAAAAGTTCTTTTGTGGTTCATATGGAGTATAGGTGATTTCAGTTATAATTGACCATTACTTCTAATGATAATAAGATCCGAGTGTATCATGTTATCGATTCCAAAGATTAATCTAAATTTCAATTTATAATCCTACGGTTATGTACATGAAGACTACAAAAGTTATACACGGTTAATATTTATCTGGCTGATGTATTAGTTATCTAGATATTACGTTAATAGAAAAAAGGTGGCTGATGTCCCCGTTTTACTTTAAAGAAAATTCTTAAGAGGTATGATCATTTATTTTCTAATTTTGACATTCGTTTTATTAAAGAAAAACTCCAAATCATCACAACGTTGATAACATGTCTATGAGCGCATTTTTTACGTTATAATTTAGAAACAAAAAGCAGTACTAAATATAGGTTGATTTTCTATTTTCCTATAACCGTGGAAATGGCAAGATTGATAACAAAAGAGATCTAACATTACCCATAATTTATCATTTCTATTTCCTTAGTGTTAGATCTCAAAATCACACAGTAATAGTAAGATAAGAGATGTGAGGTTTAGGAGAGACTCTTTATTAGATCAACCAAAGACAAAGATGATACAAGGGGTGATTCGTCTCGACGAAAGGTTGACGAGACGAATACGAAAAGAATAGAGAAGCTAAGAACAAAGGACGAATTATAACTAGGGTTTTGCCTCTTTGAATATTCTGAATGATTGTGGATGGTCTTCAAGGAATAGGGGGTCTTCTATTTATATGGAGAGGAGGTTGGCTTCCTCAAGATATTCTTCCATATTTCTTTTGGAAATATTCTTCTTTGGCGTTGATCTCCTTCTATTTTTCTTGGATGTAGTCTTTTTCTCCAAGTACTTCCTTTTCTTTGAGGAGGTGGAAGTGGAAGCGGGCCGGGCTTACATAGTATTATTAATTGTGACGGGCTCAGGAAATTGTGCTAATTTCTGCTCTAACAATAAGTCCCCCCCAGTTTGGCGAGATAAATGCAATTTAATCTCGGCGAACTTCATGTATAAAAGAGGAGCTCAAGAGCAATTAATAATAACTATGTGATGCCGACGCGATGCCGATGCTGTCGCGATGCTGCGCTGACGTGATGCTGCGTTGCGTTATTGACTTTAGATCCGCACTGCCTCGTTAAAACCTTGATATGGAAAAACCCTATGGGATAAAAACCATAAGAAGGGAAAAGAGTACAGTGACGTAATCTTGTCCGCAAATAGAATGTGCTTTTGATAATTTCTCTCGGACTTGACGAGATGACTCTTTTGTCTCGTCAAGGAGAATAGATTGCTGTGACGATTTTTCTCGGATTCGAGCTTCGACGAGATTGGTTTTATCGGGCTCGTGTGATGACGAGACCGCTCGATCTCGTATATGATGACGAGATCGGTGTCTTCTCGGGCTCGTGTGATGACGAGACCGCTCGATTTCGTATATGATGACGAGATCGGTGTCTTATCGGGCTCGTGTGATGACGAGACCGCTCGATTTCGTATATGATGACGAGATCGGTGTCTTATCGGGCTCGTGTGATGACGAGACCGCTCGATTTCGTATATGATGACGAGATCGGTGTCTTATCGGGCTCGTGTGATGACGAGACCGCTCGATTTCGTCCTTCAGACCTCAGACCTTTCGGGCTCACCCCAAAGTCTGAAGGCATTCCCATCGGTTCGGACGCGACGGCTTCGCGTCGGCTTACTCCTCATGGATGATCAGTCCGTATGTTTTTCTCGGATTCGCGCTTTGGCGAGACCGGTTTTATCGGGCTCGTGTGATGACGAGACCGCTCGATCTTGGATGACAAGATCGGTGTTTTCTCGGGCTCGTGTGATGACGAGACCGCTCGATCTCGTGTGATGACGAGATCGGTGTTGTCGAGAGGTTTGGCCAGAACGTCGACGTGTGCCTTTGGAGGTGAATAAAATTTTACAATGCTCATCTCGTCAGACGGATTATAGAATTTTATTGGGGGTATAGCTGAACCTTTGGAAAGGCTGCCTACGTACCCATGCCGGGATCAAGCCATTCGTAGTTCGTTTTCTCGGTCTCGTGCTTGAGACCGGTTTGATGCCGAGATGTTTATCGGACTTGCCGTTTCGGCGGCGGAGGCAGATCATCTTGGTGAGGGAGTGATGCAGGCGCGTTCTTCTCGGCGTCGTCGTCTCGATCTTGGCGCGTCGTATTTCTACTTTGGCGCTGGTTTGCAGCTCGTCGATTTTCGTCGCGGCGTTCAGCATCATTGTGGCTTTGCGGAGTATTGCCGTACTCTAGTATCATGCTGTTGATGCGCCTACATTCTTCTGTAGTATGATCGGTTCGTCCATGGAGTTTGCACCATTTGGACTCGTCGCTGCCCTGTCTAAAAGACTCCTTAGAGGCCTCCTTTTATTCTCTTGACGAGATGACTCCTGATGAGATGACTCTTGACGAGATGATGCATGCCGAGATGATCCTTCGTCATTCCATGAATCTTTGAGTGGTGCGCCTTGCTTTCTTCAACACAGACGTATTTTTGGGATCTGTGCAAAGCGTCCTGGAGGGTTGCGGGTTCGTCGAGCATCAGACTCTCTTTCAACTTTGATTCGAACCAAAGCCCGTTTTCGAAAGCCTTGATTCCCATCTTGTCGGGGATGTCTGAGTGCTCAGCTGCTGCTGTTTTGAATCTCTCGACGAACTTGCGAAGAGACTCATCTTTTCCCTGTGCCATAGTGAAAAGATTGGTGCTGCCTTTTGACATAAACATGCCAAAGTGTTTCATGAATGCCGTGCTGAGATCATCAAAGTTGTCGATGGTCTCGGCAGGGAGGTTCGAAAACCAGCTCGTCGCGTCTTTGTTCATGTGCTCGATGAACACTTGACAGTAGTTTGCGTCTTGTTCTTCGGGGGAGGCATATTTTGCCTTCTCATGGCCATCTCAAAGTTTCTTAGCCAGTTTCGAGGATCGTCGCCATTGTTGTAGAACTGAAGACGGAGAGCCGTTTGATCCTTTAGAGGTATCGCGGCGATGCGACGAGTGAAAGGACTCCTTTTCGTCTCGGCGAGGATTTTGGCAATCTCGGGTGACGAGCTGATAGCGTCGTGCACTTTGGAGCTGATTGCGTCGAGGTCGCGGCGCAGCTTGGCCACTTCGGGTCGGTGTCTTTCTCACCATTGTCGCGGCAGTTGCGAGAGCCAGTCGCGGCGGTGCTTCTTGTCGGCGTCTGGAAGAGAGTTCGTCCCGTCGGGATGACTCGTCCGTCGCTGGTGACGTGGAGGGAGTCGATCTTGTCGTTGTACTTTTGCTGCTGAGCTTGCATCTCGGCGAATTGAGAAGCAATTTGAGCAGCAAAGCCTTGCATGGCGGCGGTTAACGCGGCGGTCGTGACGGGAGCTTCTACGTCAGGAACCGGTGGCGGCGGAGGGTTGACGTGACCGTTGGTCGCGTCGACTTCGACGGGATGGACGATGGGGTTTCCATCTGCGCCGAGTTGACTTTGCAGTCCGCCTGTTCTGATGCTGGGATCATCAGCTGGAGGTGCCATCTTTGAACCTTGATTGACTTTTTTCAGAGTTTTTTCTCCAGCCCCACGGTGGGCGCCAATTGTTAGATCTCAAAATCACACAATAATAGTAAGATAAGAGATGTGAGGTTTAGGAGAGACTCTTTATTAGATCAACCAAAGACAAAGATGATACAAGGGGTGATTCGTCTCGACGAAAGGTTGACGAGACGAATACGAAAAGAATAGAGAAGCTAAGAACAAAGGACGAATTATAACTAGGGTTTTGCTCTTTGCTCTTGATTGTGAGGATTGTGGATGGTCTTCAAGGAATAGGGGGTCTTCTATTTATATGGAGAGGAGGTTGGCTTCCTCAAGATATTCTTCCATATTTCTTTTGGAAATATTCTTCTTTGGCGTTGATCTCCTTCTATTTTTCTTGGATGTAGTCTTTTTCTCCAAGTACTTCCTTTTCTTTGAGGAGGTGGAAGTGGAAGCGGGCCGGGCTTACATAGTATTATTAATTGTGACGGGCTCAGGAAATTGTGCTAATTTCTGCTCCAACACTTAGAATGAGATATCAATGCATCGATAACAAACGATTTATGGACAATATCATAATGATCATTAGAAGATTTCAATATTTTTAACATGAGATCATTTACACTTATATAAGTCTTATAAAGTCGATTACTTTGGTACCAGGACCAGGGTTAATTCGATAATTAGATTGTTGGTAACGCGTTAAAATCTCAGTGAGTAATTTAGCTTGGTGAGCAGAAGTTAGTTAAAGTCAAAAGATGTATTGATTAGAGGTAACTAACGAGACGAAAGAACGTTACATATGGAATTATTATTAGTTTGATTTTAATATAGACATGGTCATAGTGCTACTTTATCTATCTTCATCTCTAATATACCAACAACTTTTCATGGATTATTCATTTTGGAGTTTTGGATCAAGATAATGTTTGAGCTCATGGGCTTTGGCTAGAAGAATTAGTTACACTTCATGTGGACATGTATTGTTGCTCGGAAGTTATGTTTTCGTCCGTTTTTTCACGTAGCATGTTTGTTATGGTCAACGGAGAGAAGCGATGGGTTCGTCAAAGTTCTTGGTCTTCAGATTTTTTTTTTTTTTTTTTTTTAATTTTTTTTTTTTAAACTCATGTTGTTATCACTTCACTATTCAAAATGGTAAGTGAAAGAAGATTTATGTTTGGGGAATTACCATTAGTATACCTAAACATTGTTTTTTTAGGTAACAATATACCCCATATGACATGTTTGACAATTGGTATACCCCAAGGGGTGGTTAATGACCATTTTATCTTCTATGAACAAACAATAAACGAGCGACGCAATTACCAATTTACCCATGGTGTTGAAGTTTACGGAAGACGTCAACTTAAAATAGACTTCAAAACGAAGTCTACAACGCCTTAAGATCTTAAATTTAAATTATAAAATTAAAGAAAAATATTTAAACCAAAGAAATTATACATAAAAAAGACCTTGTTATTTAGCATCTCCGACGGCGCTGGCTGTGGTCGGGACATGGCTCCGGCGTCATTTCAGAGCTGTTAGCCTCCGCTGCCTCTCCATTCTTCATCTCTTTCTCCATCAAATTTGCCTGAACAACAACTGAGATCTGGAAATCTCTGAGCATAAGTTTCAGCTTGAAGAGAAAAACAGAGAAGTAAATCTTCCTTCCTTTCTTAAAACCTCATATTAGATGTTTAGGTTTCGTTTTTTTTTTTTTACGATTCTCGTTATTTATCTTGTTCGATTTGGTTTCTTTATGATTCTCTTCCTTTGGATGAACTTTACTCTTTTCGAATTGATTTTTGCAACAATTGATTGGTTTTAGTTCTCTAATTGATGTGCTCTTCCAATTCACAGAGATCCCTTCGATCTTTTCGATTACATTTGTTGTGTTCATAGAGATTGTGCTCTTTCATGTATATGTTTGAGATTCTGCCTTTGTTGTTTTGAGATTTCACTTGCTTTTATATATTCAATTTTTATCTGCATTGTTCATAAATCTGTTTGTCCGCAAGTTATATGTTTTCACTATATTCACTATTAAGATGTATTTCTGCGAAATCGGATTGTTTATGTGTGTCTTTTCATTGTGTTAAGATTTCTTGAGTGTCTGATTGTGGTTTACAAACCTATTTCATGTTTGGATCTTTTTCTGTCTTTTCAGGTTTACAAAGAGAAGATGTCTGAGACAAAGGGAAGGAAAGAAGAAGTGGTGACAAGAGATCATACCATCAACCTCCACAGACGCCTTTATAGCTGGTGAGCTCTTGCTATTCCCTACTGTGGTTTGATGAGATTTAAGGTCTTCTGCTAATACATAATTAAACTTGTAACCGCATGCATGCATGTTTGAATCCAAGTTATGTTTTTACATATGTAGCTGTAAAGATTATGAGTTGTTTGTGTGAGAACATGTTATGTAATTTGATCACAATTTCTTCTTTCAGCTACAAGATACTCCTATCAAATGGATAAGACGGCAAGGAGAGAGAGTGAAAGCTCATTTGCGTGATGATAATGCGAAAGAAGATTAGGATTTTAGATGAAGAAAATGATTGTTCTTATGATCTTAAATACCATTACTATTACATTTAGATTGTATCGGTACCTGATTTATTATAAAATTGTATTGTACTCAGAACCAAACTTCTTCTCTGTTTTATACATTGATAAGAGATTAGAAAGTTATGCTAATATGTATAGCTCACAAATTGCAGAGATTCAATAATGTTTATGTTTATGCTCCTAAAATAACATTTTTTTAAGTTTTCAGGATCGAAATCTACATGTCTCCATATAACAAGTATTATGTGTTTAAGTACGAAAACTTCTTAAGTACTTTTTATGCTCAACTATAAACAAATCTAACAAATTTTACTTAGAAATTAGGGCTTTTTTAGCAAACCACAAACAAACTTCACTCATCAGTAGACATAAACAACAATATAAGAGTAACTTACATATGGATATAACCATCTCTCAATAAGAACATTCTTCCTCCTTTGTCCTAATCCACCTTAAAAATCTATAATCCATTGTTTTTTCTCTCATTTTTCACAAACAGCAGCTACGTACATCATTTTCTGTAAAAAAATACAAAGACACAACATATTAATCAAAACGAGTAAGTAGATATCACAGTGAAGTCTAATACATTATCACCTAGTGTCCAACAAAAACAAGAACAAAGTAGACTTCGTCGTGAAGTCTACTACATTTCACCTAAACTCCACTAAAAACTAAAAATTTGATTCCCTTCAAAATATACTAATTAAGCAAGCCAAATTGTTACACAGGCAAATAGACAGATAAAAACAACTTATTGTCGAAGAAAATCTTATAAATTAGTTATTCATATTGCACAAACACCTAATTTACAATACAGTAACAAAGTAGACGTCATGTAGAAATCTACTTGTAGACTTCACCAGGAAGTCAACTTTAGGGGTACACCAACTGCAAGAATATTTTGTGAAGTCTACAAAGGAAGTCAACAATTCGAGGGGTATACTTTTGCAATTGACCAAATCACGACTTTTTGAAGTAGACTTCTTTTATAAAAGTAGACTTCATATTGAAGTCAACAATGACAAGTAGACTTCAACAAGAAGTCAACTACGAAAAGTAGACGTCATATTGAAGTCTACTACCAAAAGTAGACTTCGTAAAACAACGTTTGCAGTTGGTGTACCCCGAGTTACTATTCATTCGTTGACCAGTTGACTTCTTTTTGCAGAAGTAGACTTCTCCATGAAGTCTACTCCGAAAGTAGACTTCAAAAAGAAGTCTACGAGTCAAAGTAGACTTCGCGGGGAAGTCTACAGTCTAAAAAAGAAGTCTACATCAAAAAGTCGTGATTTGGTCAATTGCAAAAGTATACCCCTGTCGCGTAGACTTCATGTGTAGACTTCAGAACCGAAAGTCGTCGTCTGGTCAATTGCAAAAGTATACCCCTCCCGAAGAATAGACTTCTTTGTGAAGTCTACACATGGGGTCCACCTTTTTTTGTTGTCAAAGGATTAATGTAGACTTCTCCAAGAAGTCTACTTCTCCGAAATTTTAAAAAGTCGTTTGCAGTTAGTGTACCCCACGTTGACATGTTGACTTCTTAGTGAAGTCTACATCGCGCAGGAGATCTGAAATTCACGAAAAACGAACGGAAAATCACCTTGATGAGCTGTTTGGTTGCGTCGACGGCGGATTGGTTCGATTTAAACCTTCAGCAGAGAAGCCCAGCTGTTGCCGTGAGCTTGGTGACCACAAATGGCATCATACAAGAACTTATATTTTTGAGAGATGGATTATAGAGTTTTTGTGATGAAATTGGAGAGAATAAGTAAGAGAAGAAGGTTAGAAGAGAATATAGTGAGATTTTGGTGGTGTAAAAGGGAAGAAGAAGCTTTAAAAAGCTTGAATATGGTTGAAAATGGTTGTTGGGTGAATTGAATTTGATGGCATTTTCGTGAATAAGTGTAGGAGATGAGGTTGGTTTGGACATTATTATTTTCTAAAAAAAATGAAAAATAGAAAAGTGATGGCATTTTGGTAGATATGATGAGAGGGTAAGGATGATATAGAGAGAAAGAGGTGTAAGTATTAGAGGGGTATACCAAAAACATTGACCATTGGGGTCTACTTTTGCAAACACCCCTTTATGTTTTCTTCAAGTGAGCACAGCAGTGAGAAATTGTTTTAAAAAAATTGAAAAGTATTGTAATCTTTTGTACTACTCTGACCTCACAACTAACTTTCCAATGCAACGATTGAGAGAGGTTCGAAGTTGTTTAGCAATAAGCCGATAAATACTTATAATTGATAGATATACTCAAGTAAAACTTGAACTTTTATATCAACAGTTCTGGAAAGTTATTTAAAATTATATGATGTCTACAATTTAATGTTTAACAACATTTGAAGATCATTTAAAGTTTATATATATTTTATGATTCAATTTCAGTGAATGCAGATATATAGTAGCGCGGACCAACCAATAGTTATTATAAAAGATTTTCGTTTTCATACGGGTGCATAGCTGGTTTATTAAAAGAAGATGCTTGTCAATTTACAGAAACGTTAATTAAGCAATGTCACATGGAACTCAACTGTTTGATGGAATCAATATATTAAATATTATAAGAAAATAATAAGAGAACCTATTTTAGTACGTACGGATTTTGAATCGAATCATTGCACTAAATTTTAAAAATAATATTAAATCATAAATTAGTATAATGATTACATCGTAACATATGAACAGAACTGGAACATGGAGGACAATATATATGCGTAAAAGAAAACAAGAGTGAAGATGACGATGGAGTACGTAGAGGAGGAGCCTCTCAGCCCGGTGTCACCTCTATGTTGTCTTATCAGAATATATAAGTTAAGGTTCAATATAAGTAAATCTTAACACGTACATTTGATGTAACATGGAACATGTACACCTATTAATTCGAGAAACTGTGTACTCTATGTCTTACGTGCGTTAATGGATGTACGTATTCTGACCAAATCATGGCGTTAGAAATATAATTATTAAAATGATGAGTTATAGATTCCACTACAAGTTAAGCGATTAATAAAACTGGAACATGGAGGACAAAATATGTAGGCCAAAGAAAACTAAGCCAAGATGACGATCAAGGAGAACGTAGAAGAGGAGGAGGCTCCTCTCAGCCCGATGGCGCGTCTAATGCAAATGCCAAACATAGACAGTTGCATAATCGCGATGATCGGTTTCAAAACCAAGATTAATCTTGACCTTATTCTAGATGACTTGAAGCATAACGTTTCCAAGCATCCTCGTTTCTGTAGTAAACCGGTAATTGCCACACATACATATATATACATCCACACATTGTTTTTTTCATTCTACTTGGGATTTAACGTAGTGTTTGGTCTATATTTTCTTAACTTTGAAGTCAGATGATGGTGCAACATGGATTAAGACCAAAGTAAATGTAGAAGACCATGTATATGCACCAGAGATAGATCCACAAGAGACCAACGAAGATGGACAAGCGTTCGTAGATGACTACATCTCAGGGCTAACGATGATTCCTCTCGATAGATCAAGACCAATGTGGGATATTCATATCCTCAATGTCAAAACATCTGATGCAGAAGCGGTCGGTGTAGTGAGATGTCACCATTCTTTGGGAGATGGAGTGTCCTTAATGTCTCTCTTGGTGGCGTGTACCCGAAAAACATCAGATCCTGAGGCATTCCCTACCATTCCTACCATAAAACGGCGTGAACCGTATCACCTTAGAAACGAAGGCAACTTCTTAAGGTCAATGTTCGTGATTCATTCGTATGTGATATTGATTTGGAATACCATTGTAGATTTTATACAGCGCTTGGCGTGTGGATTGTTCTTGAAGGATACAGAGATACCTCTTAGACAAGGTGATCACATCAAGAATAATCTAGATAGGTTTTATCACCGAACTGTCTCATTGGATGATATTAGGCTTATAAAAAACGCTATGAACATGGTGAGCCAAACCGAAAAATGATACTTTTTCCCTTAAAGTTACACTCAATAAAAGATTAAGATTTCCTCCATTTCTTCATTTTGTGTGCATGGGGATATATAGACTATCAATGATGTTCTACTTGGAGTTACACAAGCCGCTCTTTCCCGCTATCTGAATGGACGATACGGTAACCCTAATATTATAACCATTTTTTATTCTTACAAATGTTTTCTTAGGCTTCAAACTTTCAATTTAATATTTTCTTATAAATTTATAACTTCTGACTTTGGATTTTTCGCATACTTAAAAACTGCATAGCATATTCAAAACTTTAAAACAGCACTGTATCGAATATGCATCATAACTATATTTCATAATGTTCTTTGCATGTGTTTGCGCTGTTTTTTTGACAAATAAGGTGTTAAAAATAGAACTCACAATCTTCACAATCTCTCAACTAACTTTGCTCTAAGAATCAAAAGTAAAAGCAAGAACAAAGACACAAGAGATTTGTTTTCCCAGCTCAATCCAATCGATATGATTGAACCTACTCTTGGGCCGATTCGATTCGGCAATTCACTAATATTTGGAAACTGTTTACAAAGCTCTAAAACCAAGCTTTAAGAATCAATGAGCAAGGAAGAGCTTGTTCGATACAAAGAGAAAAGAAGAAACAATGACATGTATTTATAGAAGAGAACCTAAGACTCCTATCGCGACTAGGAGAACTTCCTTTTCCCAATTGTCTTCACTTTCCTTTTCCTTCTTGTAGTAACTTTCCTTTTCCTTATGAACTTTGGTTTTATTACCAAAACCAAACAAGACTAAAACTGAAAACAGAATCAGTCTCACAACATAAGGCAACACAAATGTTGAAGGTGGAACATCAACATCGGATCAGAACAATCTTCCAGGTAGAATACGACATGGAGTGACTATTCCTGTAAATTTAAGGCAGGAGACCGGAATCCAGGTTTAATATACTCCTTAAACTAAACTATAATTGTCAACACTTTAGAACACCTGACTTATTTAAACAATTACATGGAAGCCTGTGGCGAATATGTTGGCCAAGGATTCGCAATGCAGATGGGGAAACTACGTCAGCTCACTTCATTTTCCGATGTCCATTAGTTTAAAAACCGATCCATTAGTTAATCTATCAAAGACTAAATCCATAATGGATCGAAAGAAGCACTCTCTTTTGGCTTCTCTGCTTTATTCAAGTCAAGAGTTCATCATCAATACTTTTGGACCTAAGGTATATATATTGAGATAAGTAAACTCAAAGATGTTTGTTTTTCTCGATATTATATGACACTCATATTACTGAAGGTAGGAGAAGTAATCGTCGAACGACCACGATCCAACACAACCACGTTCGTTTCAAACATTGTTGGCCCCGTGGAAGATGTAAGTTTACACGGCAATCAGATCGCTTACATCGCTTTAAGCTGCTATGGAAACGGACCAAAAGTACGTTTTTTTGTGTGTGGAAAAACTAAAATGATATGTTTGTGAGAGTATTCATGAAGAGCTTCTTCTAATTATATCTTTTCTCATATAAACAATTGTGTTTGGTAGGGATTGTTGATACATTTCATAAGTTATGCGGAGAAGTTGATTATTTCGATCCGGGTGGATCCAACAGTCATACCAGATCCTCACCATCTTTGTGATGAAATGGAAGAGTCTTTGAAAGCTATAAAAGATGCTCTTTCTCGTCGATCAAATCACTGAAGATAATGGTTTCCGTGGAAATCTGGAATATGTTTGTGTGATAGTTTAAATGTGAAACAGATTGTGTGGTTTTGTAATAATTTCAAAGTTTACATTTCTGTGATTTTTAATTTTGTGTGAAAAAATCATTCTCGTCTTCATTTTTTCTTCTTCTCACCAGAAGTTATTTTTCTTATTTGTTTGTGTTGTTCTTTCTTGCACATCAAGAAAGTGGGTTTCCCCAACTTTAAACTTTCCCTTTCTATATTATTCTTTTCTGCAAAAGATGAATGGTAAAGAAAAAAAGTGTAAGGACAACACAAAACTAATCCTAGCTGTCTAGAGAGACAAAAGGAGAATTTTCCTTGTGCAGCTTCGGAGGCATAGATCTGGCTTCCAAGATATGAATATGATTGTTAATTTCACTGATTGATTGCCTAAGAACATTTTTGTTTCTATACTGAATTTTTCATTTTTCTAACATGGATTAGCCTTGAGTATGTGCAAGGGACAATCGATTTTGTTACTGTATCATCAAGAAGATTGGGTGATCCAGCTGAGATATTTTGTCTTTCATCTAATGCCGTAATGTTTGCTATCAAGTGAATGAGAGACACAAAAGTGGAGCATCTAGTGATTACGTGCATGGATTAAAAGTATTAGAGAAATTCTTGTTGGAGCAAGCATTGAAAAGAAATATACAATTTTGAGTTTACTTCATCACTTTTATACACCTTAGCTCTGAGGACCATTAATATAAAAGATTTTCATTTTAATATTTGGTGCTCGTGATAATATGGCTGCGTAGCTGGTTTCATTAAAAGAAGATGCTTGTCAATTTACAGAAACCTTAATTAGCAATGGCACATGGAACTCAACTGTTTTTGATGGAATCAATATATTAATTACTGTAAGAACAAAAAATAGAGAACCTATTTTACTACGTAAGGCATTAAATTATAAATTATTATAATGATTAGTTGCAAGATTTGACTAGATATAAACAGAACTGGAACTTGGAGGACAATATAGATACGTACAAGAAAACGAGAATGAAGATGACGACGATGGACTACGTAGAAGAGGAACCTCTCAGCCCATTGGCGCGTGTATTCCAATCGCCGCTCATAGATACTTGCATTATCACGATGATCGGTTTCAAATCGAAGATTAGTCCTGACGTCATTCTTGATGACTTGAGGCTTAACGTTTCTAAGCATCCTCGTTTCTGCAGTAAATTGGTAACTACCACACAAACACATTTTTTTTATATATGCATACACGCTACGTATGTCTACTTCTTCTTAGACTTTGAGATTAACTTTGTGTAAACTTTAAACTTAAAGTCAGATAATGGTGCAAGATGGGTGAAGACCGAAGTCATTGTGGAAGACCATGTACATGCACCCGAAATAGATCCACAAGAGGTCAACGAAGATGGACAAAGATTCGTTGACGACTACGTCTCGCGTCTAACAATGATTCCTCTAGATAGATCAAGACCATTGTGGGACATTCACATCCTCAACGTCAAAACAAATGACGCAGAAGCTGTCGGCGTGATAAGATGTCACCATGCATTGGCGGATGGAATGTCCTTGATGTGTCTCTTGGTGGCGTGCACCCGGAAATCATCAGATCCCGAGGCCTTTCCGTCCACTCTTGCCATAAAACGTCGTGGACATTTTTTGCCGCAAAGCCTTGGAAACAAAAGCGATCTATTAAGGTCAATATTCGCGATTCATCATGCGTTGACATTGATTTGGAACACCGTTGTGGATCTTCTGCATTCTTGGGCGACTGTATTGTTCTTGAAGGATACAGAGACCCCTCTTAAACAGGGTGGTCGTGTCGAGAATAAACTAAAGAGGTTTTATCACCGAACTATCTCACTGGATGATATTAAACTTATAAAAAACGCTATGAACATGGTGAGTCAAGATATGTTCGGCTATATATGATTATTTTCCCTAAAACTCCATAGAAAGATTGTGATTTTTCTCTTTTTTTGTTAATCTTGTGTGTGTGTGTGTGTGTGGCAAGACTATCAACGATGTTCTTCTTGGAGTTACACAAGCAGCACTTTCTCGCTATCTGAACGGAAGATATGGTAATTAGCTAATTACCCTCTATCAATGCATCATAATTTTTTTTATATGTTTTGCATATGTTGTGTTGTTTCTTGACAAACAAGGCAACGCAGATGTTGAGAGTGGAGCATCGACATCGGATCAGAACAACCTTCCAGGTGGAATACGACTTCGAGCAGGTGTTGCAGTAAATTTAAGGAAGGAGATCGGAATTAAGGTTAGATATCTACTTCTCAAAATTTAAAAACTTTATTGAAAAGACTTTAAAACCCTAATTTAGTTAAACAATTGCATGAAGCATGTGGAGGATATGTTGGCCAATGGTTCGAATTGCAGATGGGGAAACTACCACAGCGTAATTCATTTTCCGCTCTCCATTAGTCTAGAAACCGATCCATTGGTTCATCTAACAAAGACTAAATCCATAATGGATCGAGTGAAACACTCTCTTCTGGCTTCTATGCTTTATTCAAATCAAGAGTTCATCATAAATACATTTGGACACAAGGTATGTAATAAGATTAGCGAAATGAACTCAAAGTTTTTTTCACTGTGAGAGACATTATGTGACACTCATGTTATTGTAGGTAGCAGCAGTGTTATTCAAGAGATTACAGTCGAATACAACGACATTCTTTTCAAACATCGCTGGCCCCGTTGAAGAAGTAAGTTTACACGGCAATCACATCGCTTACATCGCTCTCAGCTGCTATGGAAACTCACAGGTATGTGTTTGTTTGTTCAGCAGTAAATGAATGATATGTTTGTAATGGTAATCATTAGTAGCTCATTCCGACATTTTCTTCTCTTGTTTATGTGTTTTGTAGGCATTGTGGATACATTTCATAAGTTATGGGAAGAAAATGATTATATCGATGGCGGTGGATCCAACGGTAATACCAGATCCTCACAATCTTTGTGATGAAATGGAAGAGGCTTTGAAAGCTATAAAAGACACTCTTTTCTTGTAAAAAGTGACCCATTTGTTTGATGATCACATCATCGAAACAAATGGTTTCACTACAAGAATATTGAGTTTTAATAGCACTATAAGATAGACTAGATAGTGTTTTATGTGGTTTTGCTATATTTGACTTACTCTTCACTTTTCATAGTGTTTCTAAATTGATAAACGCTATAATATGTATGTTGCGGATGTGAAAAAATTGACAATCTGTTTAAACTTGATGTCTGACAATTTTTATTTTGAAATATCTAGTTGATTTAGCTTCGAAAGGTAAGAGTAGCGATGGAGGAATCGTAGTTACATAGCAGAAACTGACAAATCGATATATTGATTTATTGTCACAACTCAAGATTTTTAACTAGACCAGCTCCATCTCATATAACCCTCTTTCTAGAACAGAGGATTTAATCAACTTGAGAGACTCAACCAAATCATCACACATCTTGTGAGGGTCAGGAATGACTGTTGGATCGGCCGTTACCGATATTATAACCTTGTTCGCATAGCTCTGGAAATGTAGAGTAAGAGCCTTGACACACATACACAAACAAAAACATGATTAAAAAATCAGATAAGCAGAAAATTTTCTACATTTACAAATATATAATGAACTTGTCTATACATATACTTACATGTGGGTGACCAAATACAGTAGGAGAGATATAAGATAAAGGGTGGCCATGAAAAGTTATTTCTTCCTTTGGACCAACCACATTTGAAAATGACAATGTTGTGCTATGAATCACTTTCCGTACAAGAACAACACTTGCCTGTATTTTCAATTTGGTTCTCCATTAGACAACATTCATTTACTTAAATAAAACAAAACATATGCATCATTAACCTTATATATATTAGGAATTTAGAAACTGTACCTTGAGCCCGAGAACTTTTAGGATCAGTTTAAAGAAGGCCATGGAGAATACAGCCTCGAGGGAGTGTTTCTTGCGGTCGACGGTGACTTTAGCTCGGCGCAAGTATTCTAAAGGATCAGTCTCTAGCCCAACCGTGAACGGTAATAGTATGTAACCGAAGAGATTTCCCCATCTGCATTTCGATTTCTTGGCCATCATATCCGCTAGAGCCTTGAACAATAATCAAAACCACACAATAAGTTTCAAATTATTTAGTTAAAGTTTCCAAGATTAAACATTTTATATATATACCTCAATTCCTGTGTTTGGTCTCAAATTAATCATAATTGCTGAACGAAGTCGGATTCTCCTCATCGACTCTTTTGATTTCGGTGTTGCTTCTTGATCTATTTTCAAATATATATGACATACATTCTTTAAATGAATCTGAACAGTGAACACTAAATTACTATGTACATATAGTGTAAAAAAAAAATTATTACCATATCTTCGACTAAGATAACGTGAAAGTCCGGCTTGCGTTACTCCAAGAAGAACGTCGTTCACCGTCTAACACAGTAAATTAAAAGGCTAAAAATGTCAGCCATATATAATTCAAGATATTCTTCAAATTAGGAAAGAAAATTAGAAGGGAAAAAAAAAAAAAAAGACTTGCCATATTCATTGCATTTTTCACCAGCTTAACATCGTCGAAGCTGATAATCCGGTGAACGAACCTCTTAGGGTTAAGTTCACTACCAGGTTTGGCCAAAAGAGGAGTCTCCGTATCCCTCACGAAACATATTGTCAGAGCAAACATCAAGATATCGACAAAAGTGTTGAAGACCAATCTTAGGATGAACCAGAGCCCTACAAACAACCACAAGAACTTGTTGAAAACCCCGCTGTAGCATCTCGGTCCGAATCGTTTTTTCTGAACGGAAACAGTAGGCAAAGCCTCAGGGTCCGATGTTTTGCGAGTGCAAGCGAGGAGAAGAGACATGAGAGACATTCCATCACCCAAAGAATGATGGATCTTGATAATTGCAGTGGATTCAGCGTTTGATGTTTTGAGGCATACTACGTGAAGTTCCCATAATGGTTTAGACAAATCCAGAGGAACGGTCGTTAACTTTGAGATATAGTCCTCGAGATACTGATCGGGGTTTTTTATCTCGGGATTTATGTCCGGAACAATCACATGCTCTTCTACTCTGACTTCTGTCCGAACCCAACTCGGTTTCCCTTTCTTCCCATTCTTCATATCCTGAAATTTATCAGTTACAATAAAAAAAATCAATATATAGATAAGGTCCACAAACAAAAATCATTATATGATTAATACAGTATAAATTACGATAAATTAAGACATGTTTGACCAGATTACAACAACTAATGACTCTTAAACCTTAGTTAAGAGTATGTTATAACAATGATATAAACAGGGTAAAGATCAAATACTGAAACATGTGGTGATATATGCATCTAATGATTTTATTTCATTTTTTTCTGTGGTGTCTCGTGTGTGCCTCTACATACATAATAGTGAAATATTTTTAACAAAAAGAAATATATTGGCGTATATATAAATGTTATAGATGTGTGTTTGGACTTACTAAAATGCTGGAGAAGCGAGGGTGATTAACGAGGGTGTGTTTAAGGCCTTCGGTAATGGCAGATGGATTTCCTTTGACTTTACATCCCATTAAGAGGATTATGGCACAGTTAAAGTCCGTTGAGTTGAACAGCCGTGAGCATGGGCTGAGTGGCTCCTCCTCCACCGTCTCCTCCGCCGTCTTCTTCTCCCCTCCCATACTTTGACCTATTTGTGGCTCTTTCCAAGTTTTGTGGGTTCTTTTACTCACTCACAGTCGCTTTATACTCTATGCTCTATATATAAATGAACTACAGGATTCTAGTTGTGGCCTCATATGGTCCCTTTAGTTAGCTACTATATATCATGTGGATGTGTTGTATTCATGTCGGTATATTTTGTTTTTTTAATCATGACACCATCAGTACTTGGATATAATATTATATACATTATACTTTCTCCGTTTTAAATTAGTTGTCGTTTTGGCAAAATGTATCTGCAATTATTTGGATGTATCTGCAATGCAAAACATGTCTAGATACATCCAAATATTTGCAGATACATTTTGTCAAAACGACAACTAATTTGAAATGGATGGAGTATATTTTAACATGTATATACTTTTTTTTATTTTTTTAGACCCAAACGTAATCTCAAAAGTTGTTATTGTTATGCAAAACTGCAAATACTCTAGAGGTCAAGTCAGAATATTAAAAATCGAATCCTAGGTATACGAGAATTTTATTGACTTCTCTCTACCCACTATACTAACTTCATTCATTCGCCATCAGAATTCAATTATGCTACAATTCTCTCTTTTCTTGTGCCCTGACACCCTCTATTTATATCAGTTTTGCTCTTCAATTTCTGCTTGATCTATAATACCTATTGGTCACGTACTAAAGTTCGAGTTAAATCAAATCTACGCATTTGTCCTATAAGTATGGAGTTGTTTTCAATTTATTAAGTAGTAGATGAATAGGATTGGGATTGAAAGATTCCTCAAGCTTTCTGTTAAAATTATATATTGACGAATTGTGGTTCAAATATATATTTTTAAAGTATTGCTGTCAAATTTTTGTACATACAGTATATGTAAAAACTTTTTAACCAAAAAAATGAAGCATAGGCAAAAGCAAACGATTAGAAAAAAAAAAAAAAAAAAAAAAAAAAAAAAAAAGGTAAGAAAATCAACCTATAACTAATACACACCGGTAATTAAGTATCCCTCACATTGTGGGTATATGCCCTTGTTGATAGAAAAGCGGCCTATGTCATTGTCAAACCTTGAACTGTGTTGTAGTTGTTAAAAGAATTGGGTAAATTTAGGCAATATACATAGATAATCTGACAATTAAATATATCACTATAATAGTTGTTAATTAGATCAATACAAATACATATAGTAAAATCATACATATTTACCCTATAAGATAAAACATTAAAAGTGATATCATATAATAAATTGTAAGATTTCGTGATAACAAATACAAACAAATGATATAACATTTAAACAATTATGTGCTAACATCTAATCATTTTTTGCTAACATTATCTATTAACCAAATTAGTGAAATCATGTTAACATTCAAATTATTATACGCTAACATTCAAACCATTATACGTTAACATTTAAATCATTACTTGCTAACAAATTCGTTAACAACAAAATGTAAACAATTTATCATGATTTTTGTTAACAAGGTAACATAATCTATGTTAACAAGATAATGTGATGTTTGTTAGCAAATAATATGTATTTGTTAGCGAGATGACGTATTTTTTGTTAGCAAAGTAACTAACAACTTATTAGCAGAGGGATATAATATTTGTTAGAGAGATTTAAGACTAATTGTTAGCAAGATTGTTGTGATTTTAATAGGGGTTTTATTGTCTTCAGCCATATGAACAGTGGACTAAAAAATTGTCAGAAACAGCCATTTAATTTCAGAACTATTGATGTATATGTAGTGCAATTTCCCAAAAGAATTTAAAACAGAAATTTGCGAACAAAAACAAAACGTCCAAACACGATAAAGAGAAAAAAAAATATATATCACGAAAATGCCTTTGTCAAACGGTAATCCGCTCAAAATTTGTTTTAAGTCTTTTTGAAGTCTTTAATCAAGGTTTTAGTTTACCAGTTAGGTTTCATAGTCTTTCCAGAGAGACCAATGGTTACTATTTGCCTTTATTCTAACAACAAACAAAACAAGCATTGCTCTCTTCACTGCCACGAACGCATGGGTAGGTACTGTTCAATTTATTTGGGCCAACCATATTGACCAGTGATCCATAACTGATTTCATACATATCAAATTTATTTGAAACTTTTTTTGTAAATAATTCATTCAGTGTTCCCTTTTAACGTAAACTCTATATGTTTCTAAACATAGAAGTTGGTCTGACCATCTTCTTGGTCATTCAATCAAATAGTAAGCCTCTTATATGCTACAAAAATACGTAAAGTGGAGTTGATGTCAATCAATACACATAGTACAATTTACTGCTCATTGATGTCTGCATAAACTGACAAAATAATCTTCTTCGTCTCTTTTGTTAGTTAAACTTTATTTTATAACTTCGATTAGTCTCTGTAACTATATATATATATCACACATTTACTTTGAAAATTTAGACAACTCCTTTCAGTTAATTAATGCATGGTGTGCACTTTTTCTTACCTCTTTACGGGAACCGCAAAACTTGCGCCTTGATCTTTCAATGAAGAATTTATTTGGTAACGACCAACCACTATTAACCTTTTAGCGAAAGAAAATGAAAACCAGCAACTACTACGATTGGTGATTAACCATTTTACATTTTTACTGGTTGGAAATTAATGGTATAGCTAGATAGGTTATATAACTGGTTCTTGCGTGTTAAAATGTGTGGAATCTTTGGTTCATATCATTTCTGTATGATTAAACCTCAAATTAAGGAGAAAGAAACACCGTTGAGTTGAAAATCTGATGGAACTTATGGCTTTCATTGCCATTCTCATCTTTGGTGACCGTGAGATTGATTGTACGAAAGATTGATTTGGTGGTTGCATGTAATAGTCTATGCATTTAATATCAATTGCACTTAATTTGTAGCTGGTCTTTGGTGGGGGCCTCTTGCCCTCGCTTTTTTTTTTTTTTTGTATGTTTATAATTTACCTCTAAGTTTTGACTTTTAACTATATAACCTTCTGTTAAAAAAACTTGTTATCAAGTTCTCGTTTTGTTATTTACTTTACAAACATTTTTACTCTACTCTACTCTCTTTTTTGACAATTAATAGTTGAAATATGCATAGCTTATGTATTGGATGTATATTCACCGTTGTTATACCATGATAAATTGTTCATGAGACTAAATAAATCAAACGGGTAATTTATTTTATTTTATTCCTCTCTCTGACAAATTTTTATGGAAACTCTACTATATTAGTATTATTATTATTTTTCAATTCTTTTGAGGTACAACTATTATTCTTAGAAATTTGATTTATAAATGTTTATCATATTTTCTTTGGTTAGCAGATTCTAAGTGTGGCATGGGCCAACAGATACCAAACCAGAAGAACCCAATAAAGGCCCAACAAACATAATTTTCATTTCAATCGTCGATAAAAGTATTCATTTCTCAAGCTGTGAACTTGGAACTGTGAAGTAACTTCTCGAATCCTCTCGATTTGGGGACTGAATTGAAGAAATTCATCTCTGAAAAATCGAATTTTGGGATATTCACTCTTCGAACTTTGTCTCTCGAAACCTTGTTTTCCGACTAAGCAGAGCAAAACCCCTTCCATGGCGATTATCTCCGAGGTTGAAGAAGAAAGCACCAGCCGACCCTCGTTGTTGCCGTTTAGGGCGACGTTCGATCCTTCGAACCCATTAGGGTTTTTGGAGAAAGTGTTTGACTTTCTTGGAGCACAGAGCGATTTCCTGAAGAAAGTCTCTGCGGAGCAGGAGATCGCCGCCGCTGTTAGGGCGACGAAGGAGAAGCTGAGGAAAGCGGAGAAAAAAGCTGAGAAAGAGACTGTGAAGCCTGTTGCGGAGAAGAAGGAGACCGTGAAGCCCGTGGAGAAGGAGACTGTGAAGCCGACTATGGCTGCCTCAAGCTCGAAGCCCTCGGAAGTGGAGAAGCCTAAGGAGGAGAAGAAACAAGAAACTGGTCCCGTTGGTAAATATCAAACCTTTTTCTTTTTGCTAAATTTGATAAAAATTGAATCTTGAAAAGAGTGTAGGCTCTTAGGATTGGAACTTTGATTGATATTGATGAATAAACTACGAATTTAGAACCTTGATTAGGCTGATTTGCTGCAGAGTAACGGAAAGATGTTTTCACTTTTGTGTTTGATTAGTCTTGATCATGTGTTATATATCCTTGTTTCATCTTGTATGAAGAACTATGATATCGGAAAGAGGTTCTAGGCTCTGTAACATGAAACTTTATACTTGATTATGTATGATTTTGGCCCTACTAAATCACTATGATGAGAGCATTGGTTATATCTTGTTCTTTGGAGTTAAATTTGAGTATCTGTTTCTATGCAGTTCCTAACAAAGGTAATGGAATGGATCTTGAGAACTACTCATGGGTCCAGACTCTCCAGGAGGTCACAGTTAACGTTCCGGTGCCTACTGGCACTAAAGCAAAATCTGTTGTATGTGAAATCAAGAAGAACCATATCAAGCTTGGTATCAAAGGCCAAGATCCAATCATCGATGTAAGTCCCTCTGCTACTGTTCATCATAAGTTATTCCATTGCCGTCCTGTGATAATCTTGCTTATCTTGCAAACTTTCAATGATTACAGGGAGATCTCTACGGTGCTGTGAAGCCTGATGACTGCTACTGGAATATCGGTAATATTGTCTAAACCCCTAGTGAAACAATGCACAAGAAATTTGAGGGTAAATAAGATTGCTTAATGTTATATTATTCTCTGCAGAGGATCAAAAGGTGATATCGATTCTGTTGACTAAGCGAGACCAGATGGAGTGGTGGAAATGCTGTGTGAAAGGGGAGCCTGAAATAGACACTCAGAAGGTTGAGCCAGAGAACAGCAAATTAGCTGACCTTGACCCTGAAACTCGCTCCACTGTTGAGAAAATGATGGTGCTTGTCCTCCTCTTCTTTCTCCATTTTAAGTTTCTTGAATCATCAGCTTTCTTTATTTCCTTTGTAACCACTGAAGTGTTTTCTTTTGTTTGTTCTTCGTATCCATATAG